ATTTTTTCTGTGCAATAACTATTTAAGTGAGAGGGAACAACACTGGAACAGATTTGTATTTTTGTACAACTCACATTCATGAGGGAATTATTTTGCAGGATGAGTATTGTGCCTGTGAGCAATAGACACCACAGGGCACACAAATACAGAGATAATATAGTTGCACCTTTATAATCTAAGTGGTTACCACCTGCATGTTATGTAGATCAAACAAATTGCTCTCTCATTTCTTGATTGTTCACTTTTGTGAATTTCAGATAAAATTTGAACAATAGTCCCTGATATATCTTAAAAGATTTGCCTCAGCAGTACTTTGTTAAGAGCCATCTGGCCTCATTCATGTTTTATTAGGAACCATCTGGATCTGTATTTTTCAAACACTTGCTGCCTTAGGGCTTAGTCATAAAAAAGATTTTTTTAAAAAAACCATCCGATAAACCATTGTTTCATGCATGTTATGTTACCATGTAACTTGACTTCAGTATAAATATTTGCTTTAGATGATGGTGAATGTCAAACAAACTTCCTTTCCCAGCTCCCCACCCCAATTAAAAACCAACCCAAAATAATCCAGGGCTATTTTTCAACCTAGCTAAAGGCTCCCAGTGAGCTACACTCTTGAAAATCCATTTGTCAATTTGGCTTTCACTGATTTCTCACTTCATCCTTGCTTATATTGGTTGCAACCAGCCCGTGTTAATTGTGCTTCACTTCCATTGAAATCAATGGGACTTATCAAGTCATGTATAGCTTGTTCCATTAAACTTGGATGCCACTGAAATCAATGGGACAAATAAGTAATGATTTAACAAACCCTCTTAAATTAACAGGAATTGAGTTCGTTTGAATCCAGCTCAAAATTTCTCAACCAGTCCCTAGAACCACAATCAGCCATCCCACCTGCAACTGTAAGATAGCTTTGTTCACATTGCTTTCCAAAATTTTCTCCTCCCCTTTCCCAGGTGAAGGGACAGGATACCCAAATCCTGTCTGTGAAATCACCCCAGGCCTCAAAACTGTCCAAAATTCCCTTTCTCTCTCCTAAAATCCACAACTACAGTTTTTCTGTGGATTCTCACAAGATGCTGGTACATAGGAAAAACCGTTACTTTTATCAGCACGAGAAGGCTTCAAAAGGCTAATGAATAGGCTCTGTCATTGCCAAGAATACTCAGGCCTGAGAACTGACTTTTATCTCATTCGGTTGCAACATCTTGGACATGCTGAACCACCAGGGCTCCTCGACCCCTTGGCTCTCACCCCCCGCCCTTTCCTGGGAAGGGTGCCAAGAGAGTCCCAAGACAGCTTTCTGTTCATGCTCAGAGAAACTCATGGGCAGGACTCTGGAAGAAGGAGGAGAAAGGGGGAGGGAACTGGAAGGGTATATATGTTTGTGCACATGACTGTGAACTCGTGCATGCTTTTTGTCAGTTATCACACTTGCTCCTTCTACCAGTTCATGGATGGTAGAAATAAAAGCTTTTTCTCCGAAACTATTCCTTGAGTGTCTGTTGACTCCCATTTTCCCTTTCCCAGGTGCAATATTTTCCCCACCTGAGGGCAAAGCCTCATAAGGCTACACAGGCAGTCATGGGACTCTTCTTTCTGAGCAATGGTGTTGATTCTGGGATTCCCTGACTCCAGTCAGCTGCAGCATGGGATGCATAAAGAATCCTAGTGCACTTATATTCTTGCCCTGGAGATGATGAGCAGAGCAGGGATCACTCATTCCTGAGGTCTCCTTGCCTATCAGCAGCAGATACAGAAATCCAGTTTATTTAATAATAAAATAATAATAATAATAATATTTTTTATTTATACCCCGCCCTCCCCAGCCAAGGCCGGGCTCAGAGTGGCTTACAAGCAATAATAAAAACAAGTTGAATGATTACAACTTAAAAACAAAATTAAAATACATTAAAATATTGAAACATTAAAATATTAAAATGTAGCCTCATCGCAGGAGGAGAAAGGAAAGGAAAAAGAAAGAGGGGGAGGGAATCAAATTGGCTCCAAGCCAAAGGCCAGGTGGAACTACTCTGTCTTACAGGCCCTGCGGAAAGAAATCAGATCCTGCAGTCCCTGGTCTCATGAGACAGAGCGTTCCACCAGGCTGGAGCCAGAGTTGGAAAGGCCCTGGCTCTGGTTGAAGCCAATCTAACTTCCTTAGGGCCCGGGACCACTAGAGTTTTGCTATTTATGGACCTTGAGGCTCTCTGTAGGAGATTTCATGGATCGCCCAAGCCAAACAGCAGCTGCTTGACCTATCTTCTAAAGGCAGAACAGGACAACAGCAAGCTCTCCTAGGGAGTTTTACAGACCACATGCTACCTCAAGTATGTTGCATTGAAGGATCTGTGTCTTCACTGAAAGTGGGAGCCAGTAATTTCTCCCCAATTAAATCTGATTCTATTATTTGGGCTAGGTCTCCTCACTTCTTCCAAAGGGCATAGATTGTTGTTTCAAATTTGAATGCACTCTTCAGATCTCTCTCAACTCACTAGTGTACCTTGACCTCTAACTTGGGAGCTGCTGATCTAAGGATTTCTGTAACATTAGTAATGATTCCCAAATGAGCTTGTAACTCAGGTGAATGAAGACTGACTTGGAATTGAATTACTTTAAGGCTGCCATAGTGCTCAATTTTAACTCTCAATATAGAATACACTCCAATGATATACCATATACGGTACTTGACTCTTGCCCCACCAAAAACTGCATAATTTTAAGGTCATTCATTTCTTCTTCTACAAAAGCAATACACTTTATGTGATTTCTGGTGACATCTAGTGGCTACATATGGGCATTCAAAAAAATTATAATATTTGAATAGCACTGCAGGTCACGCATAAGCCAAAGCCAACCTGGAAGCAATCTGCAAAGTATCTGGCGTTTGCAGCCCCTTCATAGGTTATGCTTGCCTCTGGAATATTCTAAAAGGCTTGGGTCTCAAATTCTTAAGGAATGCTTCTTCCCATATTAACCTGCTTGTGCACCAAGATCAGCAGAGGAGACCCTTTTCCATGTTTCATCTGTTAGGGCTGCCATATGTCTGGATTCTCCAGGATATTATTGGGACTTCAAAGGCAGAAATGACATCCAAGGGAGGACTTCCAAAAGGTGGCTCTTTGGCCTGGAAAAAAAAGCCCAACAATTTACTTTTCTACAAATTTGAGCCCTAAAAGAAGCTTAACAACTTTTGGGGTGTCCTGGTTTTTACTTTTTGAAATATGGCAACCCAACACTGTCAAAGGGCTAAATAAATGGCAGATATTTTATTAGCCCAGTTTTGAAATGAATAGGGAGAAATACAGTAGCATGATCTCTCGACTTTATTTTGGGATATGGCAGCATGTCAAAGGAGAGCCAGTGTGGTGTAGTGGTTAAGAGCGGTAGTCTCGTAATCTGGTGAACCGGGTTCGCGTCTCCGCTCCTCCACATGCAGCTGCTGGGTGACCTTGGGCTAGTCACACTTCTCCGAAGTCTCTCAGCCCCACTCACCTCACAGAGTGTTTGTTGTGGGGGAAGAAGGGAAAGGAGAATGTTAGCCGCTTTGAGACTCTTTAAAGGGAGTGAAAGGCAGGATATCTTTTTTGGACGCGGGTGGCGCTGTGGGTTAAAGCCTCAGCGCCTAGGACTTGCCGATCGAAAGGTCGGCGGTTCGAATCCCCGCGGCGGGGTGCGCTCCCATTGTTGAGCTTTCGGGGGGAAGATTGCCCAAAACTGTTGAGCTTTTTATGGGGGAGGGAATTGACCAGCGTTCTGCAGCTTTTTTTTTTTTAGGGGAAGAATACAGAAAATCACTAAGCACTCTTAGAAAAGCTGAAATCCCTCATGTCAACGCAGCCAGCATGCGCCTGCCCACCCACCAACAGCAGACCGCCAGCTGGTTGGCGGGTGTGCAACTCCTCCCAATGCTGCTGCGGTCGAAGCGTTTCCAGCTCACAGAAGTGGGGGGCACGCAACATCCACCAATGACCCTGTGGCCGGAACACACTCAAGGGAGCGTTTCCCGCCAGCACTGGCGTGGGGGGGGGAGCGGCTGGTCACTTTGTCTGCTGGGGCGATGGCACACATGCCCACAGAGAGGGCTCTGAGTGCCCACTCTGGCACGATTGCCATAGGTTCGCCACCGTCTTAGGTTGATCTATTTGTTCTGGACTATAGAGACTGGGGTGGGACGCGGGTGGCGCTGTGGGTAAAAGCCTCAGCGCCTAGGGCTTGCCGATCAAAAGGTCGGCGGTTCGAATCCCCGCGGCGGGGTGCGCTCCTGCTGCTCGGTCCCAGCGCCTGCCAACCTAGCAGTTCGAAAGCACCCCCGGGTGCAAGTAGATAAATAGGGACCGCTTTCTAGCGGGAAGGTAAACGGCGTTTCTGTGTGCGGCTCTGGCTCGCCAGAGCAGCGATGTCACGCTGGCCACGTGACCCGCAAGTGTCTGCGGACAGCGCTGGCCCCCGGCCTCTTGAGTGAGATGGGTGCACAACCCTAGAGTCTGTCAAGACTGGCCCTTACGGGCAGGGGTACCTTTACCTTTACCTTATAGAGACTGGGAACACTGAGCAGACCAGAAGCTCCATTAATAGCCGTCTATTTCCCCAGAGTTGCTTATCTAAGGAATAAAACGAACAGAAGTGTCTCAATTGAAGGGCCTGCTTACCTGGGCCTGCAGACTGAGCAAGTTCTAGTGTGCATCATATTCAGGGTTTCTTTCCAACTTAATTAAGCTTGTGTGCATTCTTACACTCCATGAAATCCTGTATTTTTTCTGATCTGTGCTGTGGCATGGGATTTCTATGGCATGTTCTTTCATTCGCCTCATTAATCTGGAGAGCGCACAGATGTTACAGCAAACCGTTGAGGATTTTTGCCTGGCAAAATGTACAATGGTGATATCCTGGGGCGAGTATAAATATGACGCATCAGGCTTCCAACTGCCTACTTGGAAGGCAGACTGCAATGGAATTTTAAAAACCGCAACACAAAACACCAGGATGTGTGATGGTATTTGAGATGTAAAATTTATTAACATCTAACTAAACTAGTTACAGGGGATCAAATACATAATATGATACACAGTAAGATGAGCCAGAACTTTTATAGCAAGTTCATGGTATAAAAAGAAAAACAAAGAAAACTGGAAGACAAGAATATTGCAACAGTGAAAACAACCATTGTATACAGTCCATCAGCAGGTTTAAGTAAGTACCTTCCCAATCCAAATGAGATTATCATTTGAACAATGAAATATTTGTAGCAATCAAGCGTTCATGTGAAGTAGAATAACCTCTGAACAGTAACTTGAAAACCAAAATCTTAAAGGATCAGCCTGATTCTGAAATGCTAACAATTTCACCTAGTTTCTACTGGAGGAGGCCAGGATTGTTGTTGGGTTTTTTTGCAAGGAGTCTAACAAGATTGTGTGAAAAAATTCAAAACAATATTAAAGAATTTGAAATATATTAATGTGGCAGCCAAATAGGGAGAAAAGTAGAGAAGAGCGATAGCTTGATTGTCCTTAGATTTAGGTGAAAAAATAGTTGCTTTAAGTAAGAAAAGATATGCAGTAACACTGATTATGTTTTATTGACAACAGAAAGCTAGCTTATTTTCCTTCTTTATTTCCCAAAGTCCTTCAGTATGGAGACAGATCATCCAAACCACCTTCTTCACAGCAGCCTAAACTGTTATTTTTCTTCTTCCAACTACTTCAGACGGGTTAGAGAATACAAGAAATTCCCTTATATATTTTCCCCAAACAAAAACAACTTCCACTGTTTTGTATATTTATGTATTATAGGGTAACAGAAAACAGAAAAAAAATGTAGACCAGTAGAAAAAGCAGCTAACTTTTACTCATCCAATATATCAAATCTGTACCAGCCCCAGACTGGGGAGATTCTGTGCTTGGTACATTTGAACCAAGCTTAGAATGAACATGACAAAATAATGACAAAGGTGGAACAAATTAATTCAAAAATAAGAGTTAGGATAGATGGATACATGATTGTACCCCACCTGATTGTAGCCATGGTCAGTTAGCACACCCCAGACCAGGTTACCAATGATATGGTCTTATCCTGACACTAGGGTGTCCTATTTCTCAAAAGGGAACCCTCTGTTTGAAGGACTGTCAGATTCAAGTCTGGTTTATAGATTTAGGAACAAGAAGGGAGAGCAGAGAAGACCTTGAAGTTGCTCATCAACGATTAATACCTGGACAGCAGGATAGCTCACCTGGTCACAGTCTTCTCCACTGTAAGATGTATTGACTTTCTAATTAAATTATAATACTTATTTCTAAATTTGCATAACCAAATCTGTATCATCTTTAAACTCGTTCCTTTAGTGATGCAATGCAATGGTGGTTCTGCCCGGAGCAAGCTACCAGTAATTCTGGCCCTGGATAGTTGCTTCAACTTGTCCTACCCCAGCAAACATTTTGCAGAGAAAGTTCCTTTGGATCCAACCTCATATACTTGTACGTATGTTATTTCCCAGGCTTTGGAACACCCTTGCTGGATAGGCTAGATTGGCTCCCTCCTTGATGTCCTTCCACTGGCAGGTGAAAACTGTTTTATTCCTCCAGTTCTTTTGGGAATTGACTGCATATAAGGAAAGGGCTCTTAATAGTGTGATGTACTGAGTCCCCTCTTCCCACTGTCTGCATTTGAATGGATACAGTTTCAACACAGTTTAATTGCTTTTTAACCATAACCTTTAATATGTTTTTAGCTATATGTGTGCCTCATTTGTATTTGTTTTAATTTTTGTGATTCCCGGTTATGGGAGAAAGGTGGGATATAAATATAGTGGTGGTAATAATAATAATAATAATAATAATAATAATAATAATAATAATAATAGTATCTGGATGCACGTTTAATTGGTAAGATGCTAACGGTGCTTCCAGATGGTAGTTTGTGGTATCAAAAACAGAAAAGAACTTAATAAAAAAATCTTAGCACCCAAATAGAATAGTCTGAAGCTTCTACCCCTGGTTTGGTGCTTCATTGCTTCTTAAATTGTGGTGCCCAGAATCGGACGCAGTATTCCAGGTGTGGTCTGACCACAGCAGAAGAGAGTGGCGCTATTACCTTCCTTGATTTGCTGTTCCTCCTGCGCCAATGCTGCAAATCAGTGTGGAGCAGCTGAAACCAGCAAGGGAACAGACAGTCCTGCCAGTGCCAGAGTGCAGTTGTCAGGTACCTGACAGAAACCTTCCACTTGCAAGTGCCCTCAAATAATATCAGATATGTATAGGATGAGTTGGTATGGATATGCAGCCAGGTCCCAGCAACCGCCAGAGCACGTAAATCATGCAGGTTCACACCTAATTACACCTTTAGAGTGAATTACAGTAATCTAATTGTTTAGGTGGTAATTGCAGGTAATAATAGGAACATGGAAAATTTCAGTGGAGTGGGACCAGTCCAATTACATAACTGGATCTGAAGGGCTAAGACAGCACCAAGTGATGTGTGCATGCCCTTGCACCATACTTGAGTATCCTCCCCCAAATATTGGAAAACCAGGCTGACTAATATCCAGAATTACTATGGTGGTGGTGATCGTTGGCATATTTACCTGTCACGTTTTGCTCTAGTGAGGTGGGCTGAAAATTCCTCTTACCATATGCATATACTCAGGGGAATAAGAAGTGATCAGGCAGGAAATATTTAAAAGACCACAAAAATACGTGATTAAACCCTTAATTTCAATTGCTGCATTCATGGGCTCTGCCCTCCCTTGAAAAAGAAAAGCTATGGGTTTTGCAGAAGGCTGGATGATATGTGTGTAAAAGGTGAAATTACGGCCCTGTGTCAATGTGATAAAGGTCAGATGAAATGATGCTAAGCTATCTGTCATAAGTGATGCAATGTGTGTGATGAACTGACCTTATGACTGTTTCATCATGCATCCAGTTCCCCATTCTATGTATGTGAAATTGAGAAAACAGCGAAATGAACGTGCTGACCCACAGGGCGTGCAAATCTTTCTTTTTAAAAACCAAAACAAAATCTAGCAAACAAAAATTGAAGCAATGCACAGAGCAATGTTCCTTTTCGAATTGGAGCCTAGAGTTCTATCCCAGCATTAACTGACTAATGCATGCATTACGGTAAGCTCTTGGCTTATGAACAATGATTGTATCTGTTTCTTTAAAAGCTGCATTAAATGTTTTGGTTTTTTTTTAAAACTGCATTTCAACTGTACAAAGCAATAAAAGACAAAAGGAAACAAGCGTTTCCAAGGACTGCAGCAGCCAAGCAGCAGTGACATTTCTGAAAGTGCAAGGCAAAATTACATACCCAAATCTTAACTGACTGTAAGCACGGAATATGATTTATGCCAGAGATGATATACAAATAAATAGATTGTAAATGAAAGAGCGAACCTGTCCAAAAATGGAATAATTTTTGTCTGGAAAATAATTACATTTTTTTTTAGAAGAAATTGTCCCCAAGAAAATTACAAGTTACAAGAAATCTCAATTAGTGCAAAAAATATATAATGTGTGATATTGTCAAATAGTGAGCCCCCGCAAGTAAATTGCTATGTGGATGCAAGGGCGTGGGGAAGAAAAGTTAGAATAACTGTCATTGCTTTATATGAATGAAAAACTAGGCATGTTATCTCCATATTGATCTAGGGTCCCAAATTCACATCGGGACTCTAGTATAGGAGGGGGGACATTACCGGTTACCAGATGTCCCCGTTTCCTGGGGAAAGTCCCCAGATTTATAAATCAGTCCCCTGACAAAATCAATCTATTTAGTAGGGAATTGAAAAGTGTCCCCGGATTCATTGAAAAAAATCTGGTAACCTTATTTACCTCGCTCTCCATAATCCTAATCTGAACTGCCCACACCAGGAACTTGCCTATAAAAAAGAGCTTCCATTGAGATGAATGAGAACATTTTTTTCTTATGCACATCGCTGGTGTGGACCGCCCAGATCCTAACCAGGACTGTAGCAGGGGGCAACGGCTGAAAGCCTTGAACCCTCCATGCTAAGGTCCTAGTTCAGAGTCTGCACCCCACACTACCAATTTGTATAAAAAACACCACCATTGCAGTTAAGGGCACAAATATGGGGTGAACATAGTGCCTAGTTAGACCCTGAGTGTTTAATGAGGCAGCAAGCAATTGTTGTGCTGAGTGACAGACATGATATTATTGTAATGGAAGATCTTATAAATAAATGAATGGAAAAGTTATTAACTGATGTCTTAGGGGTTCTCGCCACCCCCACTTCAGTTGGAAAGTTTATGCAGTTTTGCTAAAATCTGGTTTCCCTTGAGACTGCTTAGGCATATATAAATGGGAGAGTTCAGAAGGTCATTAACGTTTTCTATTTCGCCACTCCATCAATGTGCATCTGCAGAACAAGCTGGTTAACTATGTTAGCTTTAGTTTTGTACGGTGGTGTGCTTGTGCCGTTGCGAACGCTTGTCCTCATGCATCTTGTGTCTAGCTAAATTAGTTGTGATCTAGTTGTGCGCTATACAGTATGCAGGAAAAACCTGCCTGAACCTGTTCGCTTATTAGAAGGAACAGCTCTAAACCAGGTGGGACAAAATGCTTGTATGGAGCTGCTCCCTTTGCCATAAGTGATTTGGGGCAGCTCACGCAGGGAAAAGCTCCGCACGCATATTCAAATTAATGTATTTTACTTCTGTTCACAGCACTTGGATGCAAGACATGTACTACATACTAAGATGAAGAAAGAATGCTTTACTAATTTACAGAAAGTACCATTCAACACTGTAATCCAGGACCACTCTCCCATCAGTTTGTAGGCAATGGACCTGAAAGCTTATAGAAGTATGTGTTTCAGACTCTAATTTTCTGCACACATGTTTCCTGTTTAGCATGATATTATATTAAAACTGTGATTTAACAAAAGAAAAACAAACAAGACTGCCACCTACATTCCAAAGTGCTGTTTTGTCTACTTTGGATTCCTTCTTCAACATGCTAAAGATGCTCATGAAGATATTAGAATACATAGAGAGGATATAGGAAAAACATAACCATTTTAGTGCAAGACAAATATTTACCTTAAAACACTAAACAGGTAAAGGAAGATCATATATTCCATACATTGTATCTAAGGCAGATGGTTTTTTTTTAATAATACAAGATAATAAATGTGCTGCTCAGAAGAGGTAGAAAATACCGAAATCTTATTTCAGAAAACACCTGTCTCTTAACCACATTTAGCTACTTTGCAAATAGTTAAAAAGGAGGGCTTTTAAAAAAATTGTCTAGCAGGATCTTCTTATTAAAAACAAACCAGAATCGTGAAATAAAGAGTCCATGCTCTGTAAAGATATCGCCAGCCCCAAAGAAAACCGTGTTTCTTTTCCATTTGGTCATTATTTTTTTACCCACAAGCTCTGTTTAGGAGTACCACTAAATTGCATTTAACCAAATGGTACTTTCTAGGAAAAGGTAGCTGCTCGCAACGAACAGCTTTTCTATTGGATTTTAATATGAATTAAGCCATCGCTAACTTTGGTTGGACTGTGCCTCAAAAGTTCAGTCTACACAGCATGATTCATATATGCCAAATCTGGGACACATTCCACTTGGAACTTCCACTGTGCGAGCCCTGCTGAAGTCTGCAGTGGTCCAGCTTCCATAAAGGTCAACAAGGCATAAGAGAAGTTCCTAGGTGTCTGTGTCCTTTTGCTTGCTTGTAAGGCAGTAGAACCATCAATGCTACTACCGCTTAGTACTACTTTCTTGGAATGGGTTAGCTAATGGAATAAAAAGAACAGGAGCAATCCAGACCGCCAGCAGGCTGCAATGTAAGGGCTAAACAGCAGTGAAGACCGACCGCTGCATCCCAGAGCCCAATGGCAGCTAGGGTAGGGACAACAACAATTTTGCTTCCTTATTATACCAGCTCCAGGCTGGTACAGCAGAGAGGCCCAGATTGGGCCCGTTTCCACAAGTAACTGGTGGCTGGACTGGCTGAGGATCCAAGCGAACTTTAGCTTATGCAGCTCTGCTCCCGATTCGGGGATATATAGCCGCTACTGCCAGCAGGGATTCCACAGGAGTGCCTTCTGCTCATCCACAGTTGAGGTGGGTGCAGCTAGCCACTCCATGGTAGCAGTGCCCAGCACAGCTAGGCAGAACTGGGTGAAGAAACATCGCCATCTCATCCAACCCCGATTGGTGGTATTATGCATTGATCTGCCCATGTGCTCAAAAACAAAGCAAATCCAAACCACAAAAAAGATTCCCAAAAGATCAGTAACTGAGATGGAATCTCAGGCAAGAGACAGAAACACACTCACTCTGGCTTTGGTTAGCTTACTGACATCTTGTGGGGTGGGATCAGCTGCCTCCATTCAGTTACTGTAGTGCGGCTGAAAGTTCCTGGCCAATACTGTTTATCACAGAACTCAATAAGGCATTAAATCTGAACTTGCATCATCCTTTGGAAAAAATAGTGTTAAAGCTTCTCTCCCCACCCCACCCCACCCTTTCAGAGATAACATTCAACAATCATTTATTAAATATATATGTCAAGAAAATTAGAGTTTTTTGTACATTCAAATAAATCATGGTTACTATCAAAATAGCAAAAGACAAACAGAGTAACACAAATGTGCTTGTCAAAAATCTAAATCAAGCAGGAGTCTAGAAGGTTATGGTGATACGCAGCATTTCCATTCTTATAATCAGAGAAACAGCAGCTATAATGTCCTTTTCGTTTGTTTTTGTTTTTTCACCATAAGACAGCATTATCCACCTTGGAAAAGCCAGGGTTTTTTCTAAGTTCTAGATAAGTTCCATTGCTGACCCAGGAGTCATCTTCAGATTTCCTGTCAAACAATCAACAGAGCTTTTTTTTATTCTCCTGTGAAACATGCATGTTTTATGCCACTCAGTGTGGCATTCATATTCCCCCCACACCCCATTTAAACCTCAGAACCACCCTGCAAAGTAAGACTAGACATCTAACCAGCTTCAAGTTGAGTGAGGATTTTAACTGGTATTTCCCTGGTCTGAGTCTGACATTTCACACACTCAGCAGTGGCTAATGATGATTAATTATGCTACTCTAAAAGTGGTAGCGGTTGGCAGATCAAGCTATATTGGCAAAACTGAACTCCTGGGCACAGCTGCCACCGGAGATTTCAGAAGCATGAGAACCGGCTGTAAGTGTAACCCTATCCAGAGCAAGAGAACCATCCACATCCAGATCAATTGGACCTTTCACACTGCACACCTTTGCCACATCTGCTTCCGTTTATTAATCTCATTGGATCCCACACTATATCTCAAATACATTTAAGACATACAATGCTTCACCTGGAATACTGAAATTAGGTATAGGGTTGTATATGCTGATGATAAGGTATAGGTAAAGGGACCCCAGACCATTAGGTCCAGTCATGACCAACTCTGGGGTTGCGGTGCTCATCTCGCTTTATTGGCCGAGGGAGCCGGTGTACAGCTTCTGGGTCATGTGACCAGCATGACTAAGCCGCTTCTGGCGAACCAGAGCAGCGCACTGAAATGCCGTTTACCTTCCCGCCCAAGTGGTACCTATTTATCTACTTGCACGTTGACGTGCTTTCGAACTGCTAGGTTGGCAGGAGCAGGGACCGAGCAATGGGAGCTCACCCAGTTGCGGGGATTCGAACCGCCGACCTTCTGATTGGCCAGTCCTAGGCTCTGTGGTTTAACCCACAGCGCCACCCGTGTCCCTTATGCTGATGATACTTTATCCCAAATCCCTTTCCCCAGTGGTTTCATGTAGATACTGAAGAGCACAGGGGATAGGACTGAATCTTGTGGCACACCACAGAATAAACCTCATGAGGTGGAACAGTAATCCCCTATGATCACCTTCTGATAGCTAGAACTGAAACTACCATCGCAGTACAGTGGTACATCCGAATCCATTCCAGAAGTCTGTTCTGGAAGTCCATTCGACTTCCAAAACGTCTGGAAACCAAGGGGCGGCTTCCTATTGGCTGCAGGAATCTCCTGCAGCCAATCAGAAGCTGCGGAAGTTGCAGCGGACGTTCAGGTTCCAAAGAACGTTTGCAAACTGGAACACTCACTTCTGGGCTTGCGGTGTTTGGGAGCCAAAATGTTTGACTTACAAGGCATTCGGGATCCAAGGTACAACTGTATGCCAATGCCCAAACTAGCTAGGCAACTCAAAAATGCCATCCTGTGTGGCAGTGATGAGGAACCAACGTTTCTGGAGGAAAAATCCATGAGTAGGATATTGGGAGCTGTGTCCTGGACCTTGAGCTGTTATTCAACTCCATCTCCAATCAGCCTCAGCCAACATGGCCAATGGTCATGAATGACTGGAGTTGTAGTCCAACAACATCTAGAGAGCCACAGGATTCCCCATTTATTCCTTGATTCCTCACTTCTCCCAACATGTTTCTGAGTTAGCTTCCAGCCACCCCACCGCAAGAAAACAATTTCTTTGGTTTTCCTAGCCCATTGTTTTAGCCACAAGACATAAATAAAATTATGGCTTTAGCAATTAGGTAAATATTCCGAGAAATGAACCATGAAGCGGGATCTTGTGGATCACTTTCTGTGCCACTCTTCTAGCATATTAGCAGACATTTCAGCAAAAAAATCTGCTATGTTAAAAAAATACCTGAAAAATCTAGGCTGATGCTCCATATTGTTTTCTTCTAGAACTTTCCGCCGCTCTCTCTGTAGCTGCTCAATCCTTTGTTTTTGCATTTCTGCTCCTTCAATATTCCCTTCCTCTAGGAGCCTGCCATAAGCAACGATAAAAGAACAAAGCATTATTGGCATTTTATTTTGTGGCTCCCTTAGCTTAGTATCTGCAAACCATGAAGTAGCTAGAGCTTTTAACCAACAACCAGATAATTGTCCCAGGTTACAGATTGGGAAAACAACCAGTGAACTGATTCTAGAACTCAACAAAAAATGGGAGGGAAGGGACCCTGACATTTCAGAGGCAGGTAATGATCTCTACTCTCTTTTTGTCTTTCCCAAAAAACTGACCAGTAAGAACTGATTTTCCTTGATGTTGGGCACAACACATGCACCTCTGAAGGGTACAAGATAATAAGTGCTGCCTCAGTATGTATTCAGCTGCAGGAAACTTAATTTTTTAATATAATAATAATAATAATAATACCTTTGGTCTGGTCTAAATCGGGTATCAGTAGATGGTAACAGAGGCCTAGTGAGCGGGTCCAATTCATTTAATTCTAATGCAAACTGTGTGAAACCATACCACTGTTCATAATCTTTTGGCATTGGATCTGCAAATAAAAATGGATTTGATTATTTTCTCCAGCCCAAATCTATTCATAATTTCATGACTTAAGAGCAATGATTACATACATAATATCTGTGGCAACACCCCAGTCTCTGAACTCCCTCCATAGGGATGTTTGCCAGGCAAAATTGGTTACGGTAATTTAGGCATCAAGAGGACTTCCTACAAGTTTTTAACAACAATGGATTTTATGTGTCTCTGTGGTTTTATTCTATGCCACTTTTTTTACCCAATTTTATTTTTTGTTTTCCGCTCCCATTTTGTTTTCAACTGCTCTGCTTTGGTTTGAAGATAACCCTTAACCATGGATTCAGTTGAACTATTTGCCATGGTTGAGCATTATCTGCATATGGCCAATGTCTTAAATGTGACCTATCTAGACAGTCATTTATAGTGAATTATTATGGATTCCTCCATTACAAGACTCCATCCATAGTATATAGCATGGTAAAGAACTATAGTAAAATGTACTGAAACTTAAGATGTCTAGATTGTGGCAGGTGGCAGTCAATAGAAGAGCATAGGTAGGGAGTGCAAATGCTTTATATGTGCATAAAAATAAAATGGTTGGTCACTAACTTGCTCTCCAGATGCACTTTGGCGAAGATGGTGTTCCGCAGTATATATTCTCATGCCATTTCCCAAAAATACGATGTACTACTTTCCCATTTTTGTCCAAAACATTTCCTTCAATCTCATGTACATTGTGATTCCAGTATTTTGTCTGGAGATAAAATGAGCAAAACACTTCAAAAGATCAGGGGGAAAAAGTGAATTAGCTTGCTCCTATAGATATGCCCAAAAATGACTATGTAAGCTTACAACCTCAGGATATTATTCAACATCCTCATTGCCTAGGAAATTCTGCTAGTAAACTTACTGACTTTTTAAATGAAATGGCACAGACTCTTGAGAACATCCAAGGTAATGTTGATATTACCTTTACAAAAGTAAGTTTGCAGAGACAGCTGTGGTCATTCAGATTCTTGATTATGATCTCCCCATAGTGTTCTATCCACCGCTGTCCACTTAATATATTATGAATGCAAGATGTCACCTTATTCCATTCATAATGGTCCTTATAGCTAGAAGAAAACAGAGGACTGTGATTTCATGTTGTAATAAAGTATTAGTTAATAAAATCAATGGTTTTACTTAAACCATTCATCTCAAACACCCTGAACATCCAGTTTTGATTCCTTTCAAGACAAACAGAGACAAAGCAAAGAGAGAAAATATCTCACCAAGATAGAAAACTTGCACTTGGGGATAGCAAATTTATTTATCTTATTTAGCAAAATTTATATACCACTTGATTCTAAGAAAACCTGGTTTGCAAAAATATGACACATTAGATTTCTCAATAAAAACAGAACAGGTATTTTTAAAAATCCAAAAGATTAATAAAATCAACAGATGCTAAATCGAGGCAAAACACGTGGCTCTGTATTGCCTTTTGAAGCATCTGAATTTTATTGTATTCCTGGAGGGATCCTCCTTAGAACTGACTCATGCTTGTGTCAGTGCAGGAGCACAGGGAATGGCAGTGCAAATGGGCAGTGGGGTTATGATGAAGGTCACAACGTGTTCACGTGTTGGGAGTTGTGGTACATGCTGCCCACAACAGTTTCTTAGATTTCCAATTGTGTACATGGTTAGCGACTGCATCTCCTAATCATTACAGCACACTGCCATACACAAAAAGGAATAGGCATGAAAGGAATAGGCATTGCACACGGCATCCACACGGTGGCGCTCTCAGCAAATATTGGGAGTGCTAGCAGAATTTCCCCTTCGGAACCAAACTGCATACGCAACCCCTTATTTTGTATGTAGTTGCTGCCATAAGCTTTAACAACTTTTCAACAGCTGCACAGATCGTCACCATACCAATGAGAAATGGCTTTCCTCAATAAACCTGAATAAAGTGCATTTATAGTTTTCATCTAAATTGGAAAGAAATATACGATAAGCTTGTTTTAAAAAGGGTGAATGGGTCAATTTGTAGCCATTTTAAAACTGATAAACCTGTTGCAATCAGATCAGTCTGAATTTGCCACATTCACAAGCTTTGATCATGGGATGATAAATTTTAAGCTGTTGGCTCAACAGGTGAAATTTTCATAAGCGACAGAATGTTGAGCCCCTAATGGTATGTCCCAGGTTCAGTCCAAAGGTATCCCTAGTTAAAAGAATTTCTGATAGCAGGTATCTTGTATATATGTTATGCACATAATTCTCTCTCTGTGGCACCATATGATTTGCCAAGTTATGGAAAGCGAAAAAATATGGAGATTTTTGTGCCAAAGAAGTTTTGACAACCCCAGAGCCGCAAAATGTGAACTACATTCTCCATACAATTACAGAACTTACGCTGGCAAAATTACATGTGTTGTACCAACTGGCACAATTTCCATGGATTTCCCCCAGAATTTGTTTTTCCATCTGATATCTGAAATTTAAAAAATAATAATAATTAAAAATCAGTAATAAACTAAGTACATCCTTAACACCAAACACATATTGCTATTGTTGAGCTGAATTGTTTACTAAGTGTTATACTTTAAGCCTGAGACCATCAATAAATTGACAAAGGTATTGAATAGTGGCTGCGTTTGAATGTCATGCTAAACCATGGTTTAGTGGTATGTGAACAATCACACTAAACATGGAGCTCATGGATTCTCTCTTATGCTCCCAGTCACCCATGAGGATGACTTTGGAAGCTTTTGTGTTCACTTTTAGTTAACTACAGCTTGGTGCAGCCCTGAAACTGTGGCTGACAATAACAATGGTTACTTTAAACAAGAAGCTTCAGAAAACATGGTTGGAAGTGACCTGTTTGAAATGAATCATAACTAAAGCGAACCACACAGACAACACAACAGACTATGGTTCACCCCAATCGGAACAAGCCACACTAAAGAAGGATAGAGGAGTGCATGAGCCTGAAATTTGCTGCGGCTCATTCACTTTGCACAAAACTATAGCCAGTATACATTCCATTGCTCATTTACAGATTTGAAGTCAGATGTAACTCTATAGTGAAATCTCGTATTTCACTACCGTAACATCACAGCTCCTAAGCTTCAAATGGTGCTGAATATAACCAGGACAAAACTCAGCCTGGTGACTAATAGTTATACTGACTTAAGATGCTTAAAGCAAACATATCGTGATTCCTAAAATCATGGCAGTTCGTATAACCACAGCATATTTTGCTTAGATGCTTTAATTTTTCCTCTTTGGAGACTGGAACCGGACTCTTGTTTTAGACAACGAAGTCATCTGAAACATTTATGACAAGCAGAGAATACAATCCTTCAGTGTCTTAAGTAGTGGAGGTTTCCAGAAGACTTAGGCATAAGCCAACTGTCCTTGCATTCGTTTCCCTGAGTGCAATCCACTCGGTGCTGTTCAAACGTAAACTCAATAGGGCTTAGTACGTAGCAGTTTAACTGTGTCCTTGCTTTCAAATGTTTGGGGAAATGGGCAAGAATTCGTTTTCCTATTGGTTTGTTCAAAAAATGTTGTAAAAGCCCATTATTACATTGTTTCTGTGTGTGTTTAAAAAGATACACACAAAAAAACCACTTATACAGTGGTACCTCGGGTTAAGTACTTAATTCGTTCCAGATGTACGTTCTTGACCTGAAACTGTTCTTAACCTGAAGCACCACTTTAGCTAATGGGGCCTCCTGCTGCCGCCGCGCCACCGGAGCACAATTTCTGTTCTTATCCTGAAACAAAGTTCTTAACCTGAAGCACTATTTCTGGGTTAGCGGAGTCTGTAACCTGAAGCGTATGTAACCTGAAGCGTATGTAACCCGAGGTACCACTGTATATGCTATTATTGTAGAGTAGTATTGATACCACAGACCAGTTTCAAGTCTTTGGTAGCAAGATGATATCAATTGCCTTGTGTGCCCAGTTACAGAGTCCCTTTGCCCAGATGCACCCGACTAGAGATGGCTAAATGAATTAACACTACAAATGTGATGCTCCCAGCCGACTGCGCTGCTGCAAGCAGGGCCAGCCGAGATAAATAGGTGGGAAGTGGACCTGAGTGAAGCCTGCTTCAGCCAGGTCTGCTTCCCAAGCCCCGCCTCCTGAGACGCCGTAGATTGGCCTATTTGAATCGAGGGTCCTCGCGGGAACCCATGGGCCCCTGCACCATACGAGGGGACGCAACAGTGGCCATAAAGATGGCGTCGTGCAGCGAGGGGACTCGGTTGGAGCCACAACCACCGCTTACTGGGAAGGCAGTAAGCAGCCATTTCTAAAACAACACCTTCCCCCAAACTGGCTACATCAAGATGTCTCAATTACAGATGGTTCACTAAATCCTAAGGTCCAAGAATCTTCACCAATCTTATGTCCTCCAGATGTTCTGGGCTACAACTTCCATCAGACCCAGCCAGCATCATTGATGGGAGCTACAGCCCAGAGCATCTGGAAGACACTAGGTTGGTGAAGGATGGTTGAGGGTAGCCGAGGTTGAGGATACATATGTTTTGTTATGCCAATGTCTGTGTTTCCCCATTAATGCCATACAAACAGATGCTTTGGCACACCCAGCACGACATCTGAAGCTGCACTGACATCTGCCGCTAACATTTGAGCTTATAGATTTCCTTCACATTCAAGTAAAAACCGGAGAGAATAAGCTAAAGAATTACCTTGCCAAAACACAAAGTTATCAGATTCAGCATGACATGCAGATATAGGTGGGTGGTGACTGACCTAAGAGGAAGGGAAAGGTTACCGTTACAGCTACAGGTTTTTTTTTTTTTTTAAATGACTTCCATTCCTCTCTCATGAATTATTTTAATCGTTTCATTTTATTTCAAGCACAGCACTGACCACAAGAGGGAGCCTGTAATAGCAAAACCAGCGTTTGATATGGAGAACGAAACATTAAAAAAAAATGTTTTAGAAAAACAACCCAGAAGAGCAGGTGTAAAGCGATTAACACTAATTTGTTAATGAGGACTGTTATTTTTTAAAATAAATAATAGCAACCAATAAATATCGGTATATAAACTGTCTTAAATCAAGTCACTTGCAAAGAAATAATATCCAAAAAATAAAATAAATCCAAAAATAAAATAAAATAAAGATGCAGGGAAACACAAAGACCAAAAGAAGGCAGTTGAATTGTTAGAGAGTGTTATTTAGTACAGGATAAGGATCAGGCCTGAGAAAAAGTGAAGTATTTCCTGTTGAGTAATAATGTGCCCTTTTGAAGTTCATTTCTGTCTCACCTTAGAGAAATATAGTCTCTAGACTGAGAAGTGTTTAATCGGGTTGGAGTGGTTTACGGAAATTTGCTACAGATTTAAATAACGGAAAAGAAACAGTAACATTTCTGAGCTACAAGAAATAGCAACCAAGCTCAGCATAAAGTAACCATACAAGCTAACATAACCATCTATTTATACTGTAGTCACTTAAAATATAATTAATTTTGCTTTTCACTTTAATGTGGAGCCTGTGCTGTTTTGTATCAAGTTTATGTATAGTTACTGCCAGGAAACTAAGGGATATAATTCACTTGGCATCTGGATACACAGGGCAGTGGTAAAAGTGAAATATTTTAGCGAGTGTAAAGAAAACATTAAGGTGCAAGGCACCCACTCTAAAATATATGGATTTAGAGGTGGTTCCTCAAAGTAACCATTCTATTCCACAGCTTTCAACAATCTCAGTTCAAGCTATGTATGCATGCAAAAGTCAACTGAAGCAATTCAGTATAAAATTAACCTCCTGCCACATAATCAGAACTAGCAAATTGTTCAGCCTGGACCACAACAGAAAAGCAGTACCTGTTCAGCAAAAAACTGAAAGCCTTTATCTTCTCGGATACATTCGTAGGTTTCTCCAAGCACAGGATTAAATGGCTTACTTCCAGCTCTGTAGTAACTGGATGCATAAGCAGATACGGCAAAAGCAGCCACATATACCTAAAAACAGAAGACATCATATTACATTGGTCATTAATAAAGGGGTATGTGTCATGTCTTGCTGCATTTTAATTTTTTTTAAAATCTGATTTTTTTTGGGGGGGGATGTTCTGATCTCACACTGACTGCAGACACCATTTTTTCTCCACTTTGCAATTTTAATATTTGCAGATGTGTTTCCTGCAATCTGGAACAATATCTTTAGCATGGGAGCAGTATTTACAGAATGACACTAAAGTTCCTGAATTGCAATAGACTTTAAGAAGAAAACAAAAATTAAATGGCTGTTTTGAACTAAATTCCATTGCAATGAATAAAACGACTACTGGATTTTTATTATGGTTTCATTCTCATTAAAAGCACAGTAAGCATCTCCAGACCAATTCATAGAAACAGCAGAGGTAGGCTCCCATGACAAACCATGTCAAAGCTCCATCGAGGGCAGATGGAGCTGTCAGCGTGAATTTTTCTGAATGGCAGCCAGAATGTTTGCTTCATGCACAGAATGAACGGGGTGCAAAAACAGTTTATTGTGCTTTTCATGGGGGGTCCAGGCACCCTGCAGTCATAACACCACCAAATAGCTTCCAGAAGGCAAATACAAAGAAACAGAGGGAAACTTGCTGGTTATTTTTTAAAGGACAGTTTATACATTACTGTATCCAACACACTCAGGATTCATCTCAATGGGTGGTGGGATGATGATGAGTGGTCAGAGAGAGAAGAGGGAGCAGACTGGGAAGGGGAGGTGTCAGAAGCTGAAGAGGTAAGCAGGGTTTAGTGAGCTGGGAGAGTCTGTGGCAGAGAGATGTCCAGAATCCGAGGCAGAAGTTGAAGCAGGCGAGTGGGAAGAGGGAGGCCAAGAGGAAGAGATGAGTCAGGCTGGTGAAAAGGTATGGGTGTCTCCCCGTCCTGCTGTGCCAAGCTCCCCTCACCCCTAGTTTCCCAGAACCAGGAGAGAGATGAAGGGGAAGGAGCAGAGGCAGGCACACAGACGCAGCCTTAGATTGCTTGGGAAAAGCCCTGGAGAGGAGGTAAAGGTAAAGGACCCCTGACCATTAAGTCCAGTTGCGGATGATTCTGGGGTTGCGGCATTCATCTCGCTTTACTGGTCGAGGGAGCCGGTGTTTGTCCGCAGACAGCTTCCGGGTCATATGGCCAGCATGACTAAGCCACTTCTGGCGAACCAGAGCAGTGCATGGAAGCGCCGTTTACCTTCCCGCTGGAGAAGTACCTATTTATCTACTTGCACTTGACGTGCTTTCGAACTGCTAGGTGGGACTGAACAACGGGAGCTCACCCTGTCGCGGGGATTCGAACTGCCGACCTTCTGATCGGCAAGCCCTAAGCTCAGTGGTTTAGACCACAGCGCCACCCGCAGACAAAGGCAACTGTGGGAAGGCAGGAATCTCCAGTCTCCACAACTGCTTCATAGGGGCAAGACCTACCGAAGAAGAGTTCCTGTGCTCATCTCCTGTTTCTTCTGGTCAAGCGTTAACTCCACTTACTTTGTGTGATTTACTGCTGGCCGGCTCGCTCCTGACAGCTGATGCACGAACCATCACATGCCTGTGGACATGCAAAAGAGAACTCACTTTCCTTCTAGAGCTGCCGAGGTACCCAATTTCCTCTTACCATCCTCTCAAACAGGTTGGGCGTACGTGCCGCTTTATCCAACAACTCGCTGTACTCCAATTCCTCGCAGAGGCGCTGCAAAGTGTTCAGCGGTTCGTTCAGCTCCACTGGCATGGCCACCTTGGAGAGGTCTTTCCCGATGTTGTTCCGCAAAATGTTCCAGAGGCTGATGTTACTAGTGTTGGGACACGGAGCCGGCAGACATGTCCTCCGCTTGGAATGGCATTCCAAGCTGTCGTCGGGAACACTGTCTAGAAGACAAGAGGCCAGGATTAAATTTGGCAACATCCCATGGTTAATATCCACACTTTTGCAGTTGTAGCAAACCACAAAGAGGCTTCCTTTCAACACAGTCCTGAAGAGGATGTAGGTTATGCCGAGACGCTGTGGCTTGCCCAAGACCAACCAGCAAAGTTTCATAGCTGTGCAGGAATTAGAGACTCCTTGCACCAAATTAGCTCTCTATCCCCCCCCCCATCTGTTTCCCTGAAACTGAATTGCTCCCCATTTTAAGCAAGTGTTTAATTTTGCCTGAATTGGGAAGATCATCTCTGTGTATTCAAGTAGGAAATTAGTTTTCAAATTCCAGCACCAACGATGCGCAACGTGGGACCAGTGCAGCTAATTGCCAGCCCAGAACCATGCAGAAGAATCCCAAAGGTGCCGTATGTTTTATCAGCTACACTTTTTTAAAAACAACAAAAACAACACCCTGCCACATTTTAAGCAGGACTTTTTATTCCAGGGAAAGCATATATGTTTGATAGCTATGGACTGTTCTATTTGTTCTGCCTCCTTTGTGAAGAAAGAGAAAACAACAACCAGTAAATCTAGTGCATAAGAGCCAACTCCTTTTGGCCCCTCACCCATAAAATATTTGAGGGGGCCGGGTTTCCCCAAAGTTGTGTTAGAATTCCTGATCTATGATTGCAGTCATGGGATTTTTGTCTTTCCCATGACGGTATGTGTTTTGACTCCACAGAGTGGGAAGTGACGGAGACAGAATGTTTGTGTTACTGTGTTCCGTGAAGTGGGACTATTGTCCTTTGTTCTTTTTCTCTTTGCTGTCTGATGCTAGAGATAGAGGGAGCCATGTTGCAGTGCTCCGTGTGCGTTTATATGTAAATAAAGTAGATTAGCCAAAATGCTGAGTTGCTGAGGTCTGTCACGCAAGGTGCACAAACTCTGCAGATCCCTAAGTGTGCCGATGTCGGTTGGCATTGGTCGCTGTGATGTTCCGGCTGAAGAAAGCTTACGAAGCTCCCAAACAATCAACCAGGAGGGAGGGAACATGCCAGTCAGGCATGTGTCTCTGCCAGGGTCCTACTCGAGTGTAGGCTGAACTCCTGACAAGTTGATGGGTATTGCCATTAAAATGTTGTGCGTGTGCCAAGCCTTGAGATCCATCTTGGGGGGGGGGCTTACCTGCCCCGCCATATTTTATTGTAGTTGGCAGCTCTCGATCAAGCGGAAGGGGAAAGAAATATCACTTCAGCAAGAGCACAGCCTGGAATGGGAACCCCTGGGCCTTGTGTGACAAAAGTGGGTAACTGCTACATGCTTATCGGACGAAGGCCTTGGGGCACAATCCATCCCCACCTAAGTGCTGTGCATTTGGAAGCAAGGTCATGGGAGTCAATGGAGCTATGTTCCTCCCCTCACCCTCTTTGACATTGTGTGCTGCAGCGCATCAGGCCATTACTAGGGATGAAGGATTTGTGTATGACTGTACAGGCTCCAAAACCTATACAGAGGGGATGGGAAAGGGATGGAAAGAACCTCTGAGCTCTGAGGTTAAATAAATTGAAGGAAACTGAATAACAGAATATGGTGAGAGATGGAAAGGATCTGTTGAGTTAAGTAATAGGTTAGATGGTTAAGATAAATTGCTTAATAAAAAGTTAGAAAGAAGGAAAGAATTTGCTGAAACAACTAATTAAGCTAGAATACAAAAAGGGAGGTGTGAGGAGGTCAATGAAACAAGCAAATGAAAGGTAAAGATAGGCAAAAAAAAAAAGGATTGGTATTTTTCTTTTTGTTGTTGTTGTTGTGATGATGTATTGGTTTTTTATGTATTTTTTCTTTTTTTCCTTTTTATATATTGTGGTGTTGTTTTTTCTTGTTTTTTCTCTTCTTTTTCTCTTTCTTTTTGTAATCTTGAAAATATTAATAAATATCATTTAAAAAAAAAAGAACCTCTGAGCTCTGTGGTTCTTGTTTTTATTCAGATTATGTATTTTGTGCATTTGTATTGTGATTTTATGTTGTGAGCTGTGACCTGCGAGTATAGGGTGGTATATTATTATTATTATTATTATTATTATTATTATTATTATTATTATTATTATTATTATTTCTCTCCATGTACAGGCGGTTTCTCCTACATAGGGAGAGACCACTGTGTGCCATTTCACTGTTGCAAAAATAACCCTTTAAAAGGAAACACAATCCTGAACGTGTATGCATCTTCATTTCTGCACTACAAGTTTCTGGTAAAGAGAAAGCAGAAACCCTCAGGACAGACCGCAAAGAAATTTGTAACTCCTACCGAGGGTTTGCCTTTCATTCTCTATGTCGTTACTCAGGTTGTCTTCGGAGATGTTATCACTCACATCACTGGCGTATGAATCATCATCAGATACCTGAGGCGGAAGGAAATATGCTTTCATTCTGATTAAAAGCAACATGCAGAACACCACCACAGTATTTGGGAAACTGAAAAAGTGGATAAAAAGAGGCCATGAAGTTTGAAATGGATATTGCAACGGCAAAACCCTGCTGTTAGGGACTCTACTTGTGTGTGTCAAGAGCAAAACAAAAACCTAAATACACATCCCAATGTTTAATACCCACACACCCACAAATCTTTGTAACATCAGACGGACAAATAATATTTGAACATATGCTTTTTTTAAAAACAAAACAACACAACCTCGGTAACATCTATAAGCAGCATTTCCTGCAAACCCCTCCTCCCCCTTTTTCAAACTGCTTTTTAAACCTAGCAGTGATAAATAATTGTGTATTCTGAATGGTACATAACATGTCGCTTGCTGCCCTGGGTTTGCAATTAGTGTGCCGAGACGGTAAAGGTCAAACAGCTTTGAAACAAGCGACATGAGACCATTGCTTCCGACGCCGGTGCCCAGACCTCGTTTTCTGAAGAGCTGGCAGACAGCAAGACTTCCTGAGCATCAAAAAACTCGGTGAGCGAATCCGTTATAGACAGCCGACTTTCGTTGGAAAGCTGGTGAACTAGAGCCCTGCTCTCGTCGTCCGAGTTTTCCTGCAAATGAGAGACAGAAAAGAGCCTTGAGTGAAAGTGACATTGTTAAGTGCAGAACACGGAGGGAGTTGCCCTATGTCTACATTGACTGTCAGAGACTCTCAGGGGTCGCATCTCGGACCTTCTGCATTCAAAGTGGATGCCCTACCCTTGAGTTTCAGCCCCAAAGATACCAAAAGCCACATACAGTGGTACATTGGGTTCTCAAACTTAATCCGTTCCGGAAATCCGTTCCAAAACCAAAGCATTCCAAAACCAAGGCGTGCTTTCCCATAGAAAGTAATGCAAAATGGATTAATTCATTCCAGACTTTTAAAAGCAACCCCTAAAACAGCAATTTAACTTGAATTTTACTATCTAACGAGACCACTGATCCATAAAATGAAAGCAATAAACAATGTACTGCAATCACACAATCAATCAGTAGCTGAACTGAGTCCCACACAGTCACAAAAACTAAAAGGCAAAATAAATAGCAAAAACAGACAGACCTCAGTGTAAAACTCAAAACGGAAGAGTGGCACTCAAATCAGAAGGGTAACACTCAAAACGAGAGCACGTTCGGCTTCCAAAAAAATTCGCAAACTGGAACCCTTACTTCTAGGATTGCAGTGTTTGGGTTCTAAGTTGTTTGAGTACCGAGGCATTTGAGAACCAAGGTACCACTGTACTATTTGCTCAAACGAGCTTATAGGGTGAGCAGAGGAAGCAAGACAGCCCCAGCATTCTGCCACACTTCATAGGGTTCCGTTTACTTTGTTTAAAAGTGCTGCTTGTTGCTTGTGGGGTCCACTAGTGATCTGGCAGAAGACACATTTCCCTATATGTAAAATCCAGCATAATAAAAAGAATGTGAACAGAGTATCCACTGTCACCGCAACCATAGAGAAACGTGGATTGGGGATAATTCAGACAGAAATTCCCAGGTGTCAAAAAAGGTTATTTACGTATGCTACTACCGTGGCGCATGTTTGGTCAGCCCCAAAACGGAAAACAAATGAGGTCCCAACTAAAGAAGAACGCAACTTAAGTTGATGGGATATGCGCAGCTTGCGGACTTAACGTATAGAGTAAGAAAAATAAGAGAACAAGAAGAACATAAGGGAATATTGGAAAATGTTTATTGAATATATGGGGGAAATTGTGTACACCTGAAAACGTTGGCAGCATTAAGATAAATTCAACAGTGTAAATAAGTTTAGAGGGATGTAATAATGGAATATGTAAAATATGCAGGGATTTATGATATGCAAATGAACAATGGAAAGAGAAGAAGGATATTTGAAGGATGTTTAAATGAGTATTCTAAATTGTAAAAACATAAAATTAAATAAATATTATCTATCTATCATCTATCTATCATCTATCTATCTATCTATCTATCTATCTATCTATCTATCTATCTATCTATCATCTATCATGTGAGAAACGTGGAGACACTGGGAGGGGAAGAGAAACCCCATGTCGCCAAACCTCATATGGGGGGAAAAAAACCAGTGACCAGAAGCCTTAGATTGTTACTGAAAAACTGAAGTACAGGCTGCAAAACAGGGGTAGCTAATCTGTTGCTCTCCAGATGATGTGGGGCTCCAACTCACATCAGTCCCAGCTAGCCTTGCCAAAGGCCAGCATCTGGAAAGCAGCACCTTGGATACTCCCTGCAGTAAAAAGAACTGAGGGCAGCATGCACTTTAGAAAGGACACAAGAAGCAAAAGCACAAAAGGATTCAGCAAAATGTCAAATAAAGACAAGCATTATGTACTTCGTCTAATTCTTTTCCGCCCTCACATCTTGTTTTGCACTGCCTGAAAGACAGTTGCTAGAACACTCCTTATCAGCTTCTTCTTCCCCACAATAAATCAACAGGCTTAAGCTCTGACTAAGATCACTTTCAAGCTATTACTACTGGTTTTTTTAATGGATGAGACACAGTCATACGTATGACAAGTTTGGATCGAAGAGTTAAAGCAGATTGTGAAACAAACCTGCTTTGAGAAATGGGGCTTTTTGTGTTAAGTTAGTGCGAATGTGCACTGGGAAGAATGAGGAAACAATCGCTTGATGCAAATATCCTACAAATTCCCCACAAGCAAATCAGAATAAATGCTTGGTGAACCACAGGCTCTGAATAACTTTCTGCACGTCCCTTGTGAAAATAAAGCAGGACAGGAAAGTGGTAGTGCCCCCGACACTTCATCAAATCAGGCTAATTGCTTGGTTTACAACAAAGAAAAAAAGGGAGGGAAGCAGCTCCCATTTTAATCCTTTTTTAAAAACCTTTTCCTGTTGTCCACCACGGAGAATTGTGCAGGTGTATCAATACCCCTCAATACACTTGTGTTGACTTGTCGAAATGCAACATCAGCAAGCATGGCCGATGGTTGGGGATGATGGGAGCTGTAATCCAACAACATTTGTATGGGGAAGGCTACTTCATAATTTCATTTTACACAGACTTTACCCATGCCAATGAAAGGTTCTTTAACCCACCCCCCAAGGGATCTGTAGGAGGTCCCTTCCAACTCTATAATTCTATGCTGCATTTTATAGATTTTGATTGGGAAGTAAGCAGCACTTGGCTAATTGAAACTGACGTCCTTAGCTTATCCACAAGCTTATCTGTAATGTGTGTTTTTCTATTAAAAAAGAGTGTTTTCCACTCAACAGCTTTGCTGTCTTAGTTCTGATAATTTGGTCACTTAACTATCAAGAGCTATTTGATGTGTCAGGCCTTGGCACTACACATATTATTAAAATAACTCATTAAAGTCAACTGCACGTGGAACACTCGTCTCCATGAGCCTTAGCTACATCATTGATAGTTTTTTGTTGGCTTTCAAGTCAGTTACTAGGATTCTTAGATTTGGCCTTATGCAAGAGAAGCTCAGCATCAATAGGTAAGAAAGTAAATAGGTAAAGGACCCCTGGACAGTTAAGTCTCGTCAAAGGTGACAACCAAGGTTGTGGCGCTCATCTTGCTTTCAGGCCGAGGGAGCCGGCGTTTGTCCACAAACAGCTTTCTGGGTCATGTGGCCAGCATGACTAAACCGCTTCTGGCACAATGGAACACTGTGATGGAAACCAGAGCGCACGGAAACTCTGTTTACCTTCCCGCTGCAGCGGTACCTATTTATCTACTCGCACTAGTGTGCTTTTGAACTGCTAGGTTTACCTTTATCAATAAATACACCATGATGGATCAAAGCATTCATGAAAGGAGAAGAGGTGCTGTTACCAAAGTAGGATGGGTAAAAACATATGTTTCTTGTTTGTTTGGCAATGTCTAAAGCTTAATATGGTTCTATTTAATGGAAAAATCAACCAACCAATAGATTTGGTGTAATGCAATACATAGCAGTTACAGCCACGATTATGCCATAGAAAACATCACTACAACTCCTCATTTTTCCATTTCTTCACTGTTTGTGACCCAAAGGTTCTGGGGAAGGTATCCATATGTTAGTATAGCCCAGCTGTTAACAAAAAACAAACAAACACACAACTCCCAATATGAAACCTCTGCTCCATCGTGTAAAAAGGTTTCTTGTCCCATTCACTGCTGCCATTTATATATCCAGACTCAATGCAAAGAGGCTTTCCATGGGGGGGAAAGGACACCACAAAGAGTTGTTGTGAGCTGCTCTACGCTTCATTGCAAGGGTAGGAAGCCCGTGGATCTCCATGTTGGAAGAGTACAACTCCCTTCCTCCTTGACCATAGGCCATGCTGGGGGGTGGGGGTGGGAGTTGGAGTCCAACTAGATCTGGAGAACCCATAAGCTCCCTACTCCTGCTTTACAACTACTAGAAGAGAGGTCTGGGGTGTAGGCAAGTTAAATTCTCACCAATGCCCTTCCTCAATCTGCTGCTCTCCAGATGTTTTGTACTATTACCAGTCCTAGCCAGAAAGGCCATTGACCAGGGATGGTGGGGGTTATAGTCCAAAACATCTGGAGGGTTCTAGGTTAGGCAAGACTGGCACAGTGGAACCTCGGTTTTCAAGCATCTCGGAAGCCAAATGATTCGGAACCTGAACGCCAAAAACCTGGAAGTAATCGCTTCCGTTTTCAAACGCGCCTCAGAAGTCGAACGGCTTCCGAGGCGCATTTTTCATTTCCCCCCATTGACTTTGCAGCTAGCCCATTGCTCCTTGGGTTTTTGAACGTTTCAGAAGTCAAACGGTCTTCCAGAACGGAAAACCGAGGTTCCGCTGTATAGGATGAGAAACAAACGATGTAAAGAAGTTGCATTTAATGATCCAGCACTGGGATTCTTCAACATTTTCTGTGCATCAGACTCAGCTTCTGCACAGCCAATGGTGAGGGGAGAGGGAAGAAAGGAAGTCTGCAAATAGTAAGAGCTTATCAATTTATAACTTAGATGGTTAACAGTCCTGAACCAGAAGATTTTACAGAGCTAATGGAACATCAGCAGACCAGTTCTGCCCCACCAGTGCAAGGGAAGCTTCCTTGGCAGATGAGGCTTATTTCCTGAAGCTCTCTGCTTTCAGTGGTGGTGCACAAGTTAAGCCACTGCCTGATATCCCTCAGGCTTTCAGTTCCAAACTGATGGGAGGCTAAAGTCCTGACACTGCTCCTAAGAACACAGCTTGGCCGTTCCTGCAGCTCAAGGAAGACAACTAATCTTTAGCAATCAGAAATATACGGTTGTGAAGGATAATTCACCAACAACATTCCATCCAAAACAGATCAATTGCATCTCTTGAAACTGAAAAATCAATCCTCAAAACCCATTTTGCAAAAGCTGGGCTTGGAACATCGTATTACAAACTCTAATATAAATATAATGTCCTATGGTTCAGCTGCAAAATGAAATACATCCAGACCAAGGGTGGGCTAAAGTTTACCGGCTTCTCTAAAAGTAATTGAGCATTGTCTCTTCAAATGTCTTTTGCAGGCATGCATTATGAAAATAACGGATTAAAAAAACCCAGCCACTGTTGGTAACATCTTTTAATTCTAAACAGTGAACTCCCACTTCTTCCCCTCCAGCCTCACTGCAACCCCAATACCTAAAGGATCGTCTCTTTTCCTGCTTAGACTCTGTGCTCGTCATCTGAGACACACCTTTTGCTGTGTCCAAAATAAGTATGGAGAATGGGTAACTAGAGAATATGCCTTCTCTGTCTTTTCAATGAGCTTCCCAGATAGGAATGCTTAGAGTCTACTTTACTATGATTTCAGGGCTGCGTAAAAATGTTTTTAGCATCCTGGGCAGCTTCAGTGATATTGTTATTAAAAAGGTAAAGGGACCCCTGACCATTAGGTCCAGTCGTGGCCGACTGTGGGGTTGCGGTGCTCATCTCGCTTTATTGGCCGAGGGAGCCGGCGTACAGCTTCCGGGTCATGTGGCCAGCATGACTAAGCCGCTTCTGGCGAACCAGAGCAGCGCATGGAAACGCCGTTTACCTCCCCGCCGGAGCGGTACCTATTTATCTACTTGCACTTTGAGGTGCTTTCGAACTGCTAGGTTGGCAGGAGCAGGGACCGAGCAACGGGAGCTCACCCCGTCACGGGGATTCGAATCACCGACCTTCTGATCGGCAAGCCCTAGGCTCTGTGGTTTAACCCACAGTGCCACCCGCATCCCCATAATATTGTTATTACAGTCACTCAATCTACCTTCCCAGGTAGGGCTGGGAAAGACTCCTGCTAGAGAGCTGCTGCCTGCCAGTGTAGACAACAGTGAACTACACAGACCATTGGTCTGGCTCTGTATGTGGCAATTTCCTATGTTAATATGTTTTATCATGCTTCGGTGTATTAAAAATATTGTACATCATTTTGATACTTTTTTTAAAAAAGTATAAATTGATATACAACTCTAATAAATCAAATCACTTGTTCAGAACTGGTGAAGTCTATGCCGATCGTCCTGATCAACAATCAGAGTAGGTTCTGGAATTGCCACTTTGATGACAACATCACACAGGCAGCCCCTAAAAAGTGAGCAAACATTTGTTCTCCTGCCTGTTTCTTTTGAACATTCACAGACGCCACTTAAAAATAAAAAATAAAAAATGGAACAGTAGCAGAGTTTCTGCAAATGAAGAAGCTAGTGCAAATCCTTCCATCTTTTTTAAACTTTTCATCAGGTTGAGCCCTATTTTCCATGTCTCTTCTCTTCACGCACCTCCATTATAATTATTTATGGATAGTGCTGTTTTAACAAGATGTGTTTTGTTTTCAAAAGATTTTAAAATTCGCCCGAAATCAAAGAAGCATTTTTGGCACGAATCTAAAAAATATATATTTAAAGAATTAACTCACAGCTAAAATTGTGCCCTTGCGTGTATTTTTATCTCCCCCCCCCCCAAAAAAAATACGGTTATGTTATGCCTACTACTGTGGACAGAACGTAGTGGGGGTGTAAGAACACACAAAGCATGATATTCAAAGTGTGGAAAAGATGCCCATGGGAAGCCCACAAGCTGAACCTAAGCAAAATGGTAATCCCGTCCCTGTCATTTCCAGCAAATAGCATTCAAAGACATCCTGCCTCTGAGGTACACCGTAGCCACTACTGCCAGCAGCCATTTGGGCTAGCACCATTGATAGTTTTGTCCACCATGAATTTGTATAATCCTCTTTTAAAACCATCTATCTAAGTCGGCGGCTGTCGCAGCCCTTGCATGCTTTCTCTGCTGCCTCTTGTGATTGTGGTGTTATTGTGAGTCTCTGTGTTATCAGCAAACAAAGTACATAGGAGGCACTACTGGCACAGCACTACGTGCAAACAAGGTCATTAATTTTCGATCTTGCCTCCCTTCCAAGTCATAACAAGGTACGTTCCAGAGTTTAATCGCGAGGTGCTCACCGGCACCACCTGTTTACTCAAAACGTCAGTCAATGTTAAATTAGCCTACCATTTTCTATCTGGCTTCTCAAAAAGTATTACATAAGACCAGACTAAGTTATTGTGCTAGTCAAAATTTAGAGAGCTTGTTGTAAGTAACACAGGCCCGCTTCCTTCATTAAAATAGCCGCCATCTACCTGCTACGATTTATAAATATATTTCTGTTCAGCTTTATGGAAATCGCAGTTGCAAGTGCCAGAAAGACGTTCAAGCAAAGAGGTTAACTTGGCTACTGGTAGGGAGACTCTGCAGCTCCAGCGATGCTTTGCGATTTCACCTTATTCTTCCAAATATCAAGAACCTGGCATGGTGATGGCGAATTGGCATATTATAGCACCTTTTTCCCCCAGTAGCTTTTGAGAGATGTGCTTTTCAGGCTGATGAGCAGTGTTGAAATATTCTACTTTGGCTATTTACAAAACAGAATGCAAGTTGTGTCTCATGACACATGGGGTGTGTGTGTGAGAGCACGCGCAAAAGCTGTAATGGAAGGAACTATAGAAAACTAGTTAGAGACACAAAACTGTTCAGCGACACCAAAGAAAATGACAGGACAACTTTTGCTAATGAAACTCTAGCAGCGGAAGGGCAGCAACTAGGCTGTCAGCAAAAAGCACTGAAAACATGCTTGGAAATAAAACTGTTCTATGGGAAGTATGCAAAATAATTCATGTCACAACAGATGAGTCATAAGCACAGGAAAAGGAGCAGCTGAATGGGGTGGAAAAAGAAGCAGGGCATTGGTTGGGCTGAGGTGGGGGAGAGAAGCAGCAAGCAGCTTTGCAGAAGGACAGGGAATCTATACCCACCTTTGCCAAACCAGGGCAGAAAAATCTATACCCACCTTTGCCAAATCAGGGCTGGATTTTGCATTAGCTGCTGAATCAAGAAGCACAGATTCGGCATGTATTCTGCGTAACCGGTCTTTAAGATCTGTGTTTTGTGCTATGGCCTGAAATGTTTAAGACAAAAAAAAAAAAAAAAGTACATTTGGGCTATTAAGGTGTCTCAGCTGATCTTATATGGTTGCCTTTATGGTTCAAAACACAGTCTAGATATTTGAAAGGGAAAAACAACCACCCCACATGGGTCTTTTTGCACCATCAGTTAATTCAAATAGTTTCTCCTTTCCTCTAAAGTAAAGAGTAGATTTAGGTGATGGGGAGTTGCACTTTAGCTGCTTAGAAACTTCCTGTGCTACATATTTTATACTAATTTCTAGAAACAAAAAGTGTGGTTAACATTGGGCTTAAACGAAACTATTGTATTCCTATTGCACACTGTTACATTTAAAGTGGTTCTTGTGTGCTCTGTCTCACCTGAAGACATTGAAATTCGCCTTTGGAATGTACGAAGGTAGGAGACATAGCAAGTGACTTCAGATAAGGCCCTTCATTAGATACTTGGTAGATATATATATACTATTTTCTGGACTATATCTTCGTCTCAAACCATTGCCACACCCATTTCCTCACATTCCTTGGCTTCCTTAGAACGGAATATGACTAACTACTTTGGAATTTACATTGGTTATTTATTTTCTACACGGGGTTCTCTGTTGCAGATCACCACACACCAAATAACCAAACATCTACCAGTGAGCACTTACCGTGCTTTGCATTAGAAAACTGTAATGGGCATTATTGCGTCTGGGTGAAAATGTCACTTACAAGGTGACTTTTCTCCTGTCAGTCTTCAAATTTAGACCAGTTAAAGGAGACCGGAGAAGACAATGGGTTAAAAGCGTAAGGCCTACTAACGTCTAAACCAGCCCTGCTTCTATAAAAAAGTTCTAGTGGCCTTGGCATGTAGCCAAACCATTACAAAGCCCGTGAAAGACAGGAAAAGCACTCTCAGATGGTAATAACGAACTGACATTAAAACTGATTTATGAATAACCAGGGCAAGATCAAACATGCCTCTTCAGCAAGTGGGAGTAAACACTTGCTTTCCTCAAACAGAATATGTTTTTTAGGGCAAGCATGACGAATCACTTGAGAATTTATATTTTTAAATTATTCTACTTAGCTTTAAAAAGAAAGACATATTTTGAATGAAACTAAGGGCTCGCCCACACTTCTGCTTCTGGACAAGTAGCGTTAACTCAGCTGGCTAGAGATTAATGCTGATCATGCCAAGGTTGTGGGTTTGATCCCCGTACGGGGCAGCTGCATATTCCTGCATTGCAGCGGGTTGGATTAGATTATCATCGGGGTCCCTTTCTACTCTAGGATTCTATGAGCCAATGTAGTTCTATGAGTAGGTACAAGCGGTTTTGACTTTCCCCCAGAAAGCCTGCTCTTTAGTGCTAAATCGAAACCAACAGCAACCCACAGAAAACCCGGTTGCCATTTGTTCCGATTCAACGAAAAACCACTTTGTCCCCAGAATGGCAAATGTCCTGAGATCTTCAGAGCTAGGATGATACCTCAACTTGATGGAAAAGTTGAAAACATCTGAATTTTCCAAGTGTGTATGTCTGCCCCTCCTTTATTGATAAAATCAGGTGAGGCAAAAATTGGTTAATTAAGACTTTTGCTCTGATCTTTAAGGGGCCATTTCGAGCCCAAATGCATCTAGATAAAAAGGTACCAGTTCCCTTTAGGATTGGAGCTTAACTGGAATATCAAGTTGTTGTTTTTAAAAATAAGCCCGATCCCTGGATTTTCATTGGTACTCCAGTGCATGAGGAGGTCAAGTTTAATCCTACTTGATGAAAAGTGACCCATGTGCTGCAAGAGGCAATGGAAAAAAACTCCCACTGGCACTAGGAAAACTTTTCCCCTTCAGACTCACTGCCACAACAGGATCACATCGGCAGGGTCCTGGCTGGGGAGAGAAGGGTTAAACCTTTTCTCCCTGGGCACTAGTCCTGATGCAAATCACTCCTCCCCCACAGATTAATTTTTTTAAAAAACCAACCTGTTTCAGCTGCAAGCTATGCTATTAACCAATGTGTAGTTCTAAAATCCCCTGGGCTCTCAAGTTGGTCAGTTTAGGACCTGGCAACCTTAAATGGCCCATTAATGTGGTCTGATCTATATTCAGCTACAGACTAATCTTAGCTCAGGGGAAATGTGTCAGGGCTGGATCCCAGGGTGGAGTCAAATGTGGGCATCTGTCTCAACAAGAACACCCCCTTGATCCACCATCTACTCCTGTGGTTCCCAACGTGGGGCACACGCCCCACAAGGGGTCAATTTGATTTTTTTGGGGGGGGGCAATTCGAGAATGACTTATTAACAGTTAATGGTCTTTTAGGCTTCCTCCACGTGAATAGGAATTCACTTTTTGAATAATAAGAATTATATGTCACCGGGGAGGGGGTGGGAATCAGGATTTTAGAGATGCTTAAGTCGGGCATGTCCAAAAAAAGGTTGGGAATCCTTGATCTACTCAGTCTCCTTTATGCACACGCACACAATTCTCTGTCTGTCTGTCTCTCTGTGCATCCATCCATCCATCCATCCATCCATCCAACTAGCCATCCATGTACCTTCATACCTACTTACCTAAACACACAAAATACACGCACTCCAATTGGAGTTTTTCCACCAGTGCACATAACAGATCCAGAATGATCCCCAGGCCTTGCATTGCCAAAAAGGGAATTGAGCTGTGAGATCCCTTTGCATCATGGGGTTGTTTTTTGACAATGCAAATCAGCAGGCGTGTCCCCCCCCCCACTAATCTGGACTGAGATCCTAGCAGAGAGGAAAGGCTTAGAGCCCTTCTATCACCCACCTCAGCTTCCCAATCCACATCTGGTTGTTTATTAATTAATTTATTATTATTATTATTATTATTATTATTATTATTATTATTATCATCATCATCATCATCAGGCTCCTGCTTTTCCTTTCTCTCAGTAGCCCGAAGGGAGTTGAGTCCTGGTGGCTGGATGGAAAGCATTCCACTCACGGGTCAGAGGATCCCCATCTTGTCTCCATATTTTATTTTATTTCTGAGATAGTTGGAGATGCTCCATACTCTTCCCAAGATAATAAATTTCACTCTTTCGCCCACTCTATCTCATGTCCCATCTTTAGGCACTTTTACATATACAGAATGAAATTTCAAAGGAACTCGATGTTGCTATTAAAGAAGCGGCAAAGGGAAAATGCCATGGCATTTGTTGTTTCAGGCTTTTAATAACCTTAGATGTCAGCAAGAAGCTATGAATGTGGAGGCAATGCTGAAGCCCTCCTTTAACACTTGTAAATCAAGATACCGCATTCTTCTATCAATGCCCGCCTCCTGCCCCCCAGACACACACAATTTAAAATATGTTTTAAAATCTGTCAAAACTGTCCAGCAGTGAACAGGGACTTTGGCTCCCTGGCTGGTGCCAGTTCTATTTACAGAATTGTGATAGTTCTTTGGGGAGAAAGAGCTCAAAGTACACCTAACATTTACCAGAGTATTAGAATTATTGAGCGCCCAACATGAAACCCAACACACTCCATTTCCCTGAGCAAAATCACAGGCCTTCCTTCTGTGGCCTTCGAAACCAGTCAGTAGTTAAGGGGGATGGGTCTCCTTCCCTATGCCGGTAATCCAAGCATCCATTTCTCATCAGGCATCCAATCTTTCCTATGTGGCTGGGAATAATGCCAGAGGACCACTTTCATTAACTGCTTTTGAATTGTATCCTCTCGTTCCTGGGGACATTTGGCAGGGTCAAATGTGTTTACACCTTTTTTGCCAAGCACTTCCTCCCTAGCATTTCCTGGAGACGTTTAGCTATAGTCAATATTTCTTCTAGGAATACATCCAGGTGTTTCAAGGCCATTTCCTGTCTGTGACTTGTCAGACCAAACACTGTCTGCATGTGTTTACATGGCCAAAAAACAAGCTGTAATAAGGCGCGTTCAGCAGCTTGAAACAGTATTCCAAGGCCTGTTTCGGACTCCCAAACCATTTCGGAGGTAAACCATTATTTAAGGTAACTGATCTGGTCGCACTGACAAGCTATAGCTACTATGAACCAAGGAGAAAGGAGAGAATAGGAGTGTGTATGTTTGTGTGCAGGGTAGCGTGTTCAGGATCAGCACCAGCAGGTATCTGACAAGGTTTCCAGTTACTACTGTCTCAATAATGGCAGACTTTGTTTGTGAAAGAGAAAGAGAAGGAAGAATACAATACTCTTTTCTGAGATAAGAAAGAAAAGGAAGGTGCTCATCTTCCCTCCCATTATGTTTGGACAGAGAAAAACAAACCAACGAAATCTGCTTGACCGAGTGTCTTAAATAGACAGCACCAAACAACAAGTGTTAAAACGTTCAGGAAAAATATGTAGTATGAAACAACATTTACTGGTAGGACTTCATCACTGTGCCTCGTGGCTGTGAATTCCGTTAAGTTACATGACGTGTTGCAGGAAAAAATGTCTGCAGTATTGCTTCATAACACTGCCTGAACTCATTTTTCTTGTACAGAAAGGCGCAGGAGAGAGGAAATAACTCCAGAGCATGTCCGACTGCAACAAACGGCAGGGAAGAGAGTGATAACTGCTTGGGGTTCGAAATCCACCCATGCCTTGTGCCTGCTTTGTTGTCCGGAGAATATCACATCACTAGTTGTCCTTGTTGCCGTTTTCTCATCCATCTTTACAAATGTCAGTGGCTAAAATGGCTAAGAAACACTTGAACTAGTGCTAGGAAGTGATGCTCTCCGATTCATGCCTGGCCTATAAATGCGGCAGCATAAAGAGGGAATAAGAGTCATGAAGTGGTAGATGCACAGCATCCCTTCAGATAGGGAGTGCTATTTTTAAAAAATGTTCTTCTTCTCTGCACAAGTATTTCCAAGCCAGCAGAAAACTAGAGGACTGGTCTAGAACCCCTTTTCCTGGTGTACTTGTTTTTTTTATTTGCTTCAATGACATACCTAAGGGGAGCATGAAAAAGGGCTCACCCCCTTCAAACTGGATCTACAGGATCCTACCAGTTCATGCTGCTCCATGCAGAGGCCTAAGGTGCAGATAAATCCAAATGCTTGCAACCTTAAAAGTGTTCAGAAAGCAACTACCAAATGAGCAGTAGCTGCCACTCTGCATCTACCCCAGCTGAATATGCATTTCTGTCAAGTTAACCGGTCCTTGATTCATTCCTGCCTTCCAACTACAAGTGCACGCCATATGTTCTAACCTAGGAGAGCAGCAGATGCCGTTCTTTCCCCTGTCAAAGCTAACAACCCTTAACCTGATGACTCACATCACAGACAGCCCAAGCAGAAGGTATTCTGAAGCCAAACTTCACTGCTAATCACTTTGAGATGCCTCCTGGGAAGAAAGCCACGCATGTAATAAAAATACATAAAACGGTAAGTCATCTTCTCATATTCCCCAGGTCTCAGGCTGGTTTCCAACGCAGGACCTAAGCTGTAAGCCAACATCGTAGGTTTGCCAAGAGAACAGAGCAAGGAGAGCAGGTGAATGCTGGAATGTCATTGAGCATCTAAGGAAGAAGAGTAATCTGGTTTTAAGCTTCAGCTTGTTTAGTGGCAGTAGCATCAAGTTAGCAAAAACCTCGCCTGATTTTGTTATCACAAAAAGAAAGAAAGTGTGAAATGCCTTCTACCCAACACATAGCATCGCAGACAGGGCACATACTAAAAAATCTTCACAATAAAAGTAAAACAGCCTTTTAAAGCCCTAAACGGCCTCGGTCCTGTATACCTGAAGGAGCGTCTCCACCTCCATCATCCAGCCCGGACACTGAGGTCCAGTGCCAAGGGCCTTCTGGCGGTTCCCTCGCTGCGAGAAGTGAGGTTACAGGGAACCAGGCAGAGGGCCTTCTCGGTAGTGGCCCCTGCCCTGTGGAACGCCCTCCCAGCAGATGTCAAGGCAATAAACAACTATTTTACTTTTAAAAGACAACTTTTTAGGGAAGTTTTTAATGTCTGATGCTGTATTGTTTTTAATATTCAGTTGGAAGCTGCCCAGAGTGGCTGGGGAAACCCAGCCAGATGGGCAGGGTATGAATAATAAATTATTATTATATTATTATTTTAAAAATGAACTACACCTACATGGACTTTGAGAAATACTCAGTTTAATCTGTTGTTGACTAATTCCCCACAATTTCTAAAAACTACTTTATAGGTACTGAGTAAGTTTATTAATATTTATACAATGCCCACATATTGCTTGCCTAGAGTCTTTGAGTTATAGGGGGCCTCTAGTGCTCAATGCAGAAAATCCAGAGTTTGCGTTTCCCCCATAATCCAGCCTCTGCACGAAGACTATGGAAGAGTGAGCAAGAGCCCACTACCCATCTTGGTCATAGGCCCTATTGCCGAACAAGTAAGAAACTAACGCTGAAAAATCCATCACTGATACACCTGATATCAGGGAGGAGGAGGAGAACTCTGAACCTAAACCTCCACTTGCTTTGCAGCTATACTCATTGGTGAGAAAGGCTTTGGGAGCAAACCCCAAGGAAAAATCCCTACCCATTGCCTTGTGGGATATTTTGGGGAGACAAAAGGGTTAAGGAGTAAACCGTACACAAATCTGGAGTGGAGTCCCTAAGACGGTTGGATGGTGCCTTGTACGTCTCCTTCTTCCAACTCCTGTAGCCAAGTTGATGCCAAATGTATTGCTCTGCTTTCCACTGGCCCACAAGTGATGCCGGGGGTGGGTGTCTTTCCATCTGGACAGCCCAGGACCTCTATACACTCTGCCCAGGCTTGTGCTCACTTCAGTGCTGCTAACACAGCAAAAACAATGCTGGAGGCAGCAGTTATGAGTAACTGGTCTCTGCAGCCACAACAGGCGCTGTGATTCTCCAGCAGTTTAACTTCACCCCTGGAGGTGCACTCCATTGTCTCTCGAGACAAATGGATTCCAACAATGGACATACTTGGTTTAGTCTACTTTACCCCCCCCCAAAAAAAAATCTCCCTGTGTATTATAAAGCTGCCTTGAGTTCTGTCACCTGATCCCATGGCCCAGAAAAATAGCAGACTCAGCCAAGAAGCAGAACACAAACCAGAGCTATGCAGATAGTTCTCAGAATCTCTCAATGAACTATATAAAACAAAGAAAAAAGGGCTAAAATCCGAGCCGCGGTTAAGTGTGTTGGGAACACACTCTGGACATAATCAGATCCATGTCTCAAGTAGCCCTTATTGTTGCTTTCAACTACTCTACTTCTCATTCCACCATGTAGCAGAAAGGCTATCGTTCATTCCCACGAGGAAAAAGGAAAGCACTTGGAACGCAACATTGCTGAAGATGCAAGACCTGCTCACACGATGCATAGTCTTTCCCAACCAGGTGCCCTCAAGTTGTTTTGGACCACAACTCCCATGATCCTCAACTATTAGCTGTGCTGGCATGATTTATAGTCCAAAATCTCTCAAGGACCCCAACTTGGGGAAGGCTGGTTTAGGGGTTTGCAACATAAATCTGTATGTGAGGCACACAGACAAACATCGTGTCTCCTTTGAACACCCCTTAGACATACAACGTTGTTCATATGCAACCTGGCATTCCAATGATGGACAACTCATGACCGAAAGAAATGAATATGCACACATCAAAGTGTTCAGGACACGAAAGGCTCCTCATGCATTCGATGGCATTCCATCGGTCTTATTTCAGTGAGTTGTAAACACAGGCAAAGATCAAACTAAGACGAGATAAGCAAGTGATTTATGAGGCATGCCTCTGAACATCAGAGCAATCAATGTGGGTCACTTACAGATGATAAGGCATTCTTCAGTCCAGCTATTTGCGCAGATGGAGATGAGGCTGAATCATGTTCAAACATCTGCTGCAGCTTCTCTCTCTCCGTCGAGATTGTACTGAAAGCCGACTTTAAGGTGAAGTACACTACAGAAAATAGTCAAAGTTATAGAAATGACACAAGGGCAAAATATGTGCAGAAGAGCAGCTGGAGAGACAAACCCAGCACGGCAAAAAGCGAGAATGAAAACATTTCTGTTGCTGATTACAGAAGTGCTTTGCAAGATTTTAATGTAAAAGGGGTTGGGGAAATACAGATTCATAAAATCAACACACACACACACAAAATCCACAATGTAATGCAACTGTGGGCAATGATTATGATTATTTGCTCATGACCAGATAAGCCTTGTATTTAATTACTCACTTGGCAGCTTTAATGAATTCCATGCAGGTGAGTGAGCAGGCTGGCAGAGAAGCAACAAATCGCTCCAGCCCACCAGGCTCTTCCCTCGGTGGTCAATAGGGAAATGCAAGAGCTGACACAAGAGACAGAGCAATCCATCCCTCCTTTGCCAATTGGTAGCTCAAGTTTCCATGCTGGCTAGAGAAGAGATGGTTTTCCGTCTTCTATGGACAGTATGGAAATGCAACCTACTATTTCTTTATCTTGCTGCTTCGCACAATTTTCAAAACAGCGGGAAATCCACAATTTAAAAACCTCAGAGCATGAGAAGAGCTCTCTCTGCTGGATCAGACCAAAGGCCCATCTAGTCTAGCACAAGATGCCAGCCTATGGGACCTGGGTGCAAGCAGGACCTGGGTGCAAGAGTGCTTTCAGCCCTTGTGAATCCCAGCAACTGATTTAGAGGCCTGCTTCCCCTGACACACCACTAGGCACGAGGCTTCTTAGCAGGCTAATAGAAGTCCTGCAGCTTAGTAACTTTTGTGGGCTTGTTTGCAAGGCTTCCCTACTGATCTAACAACTTTTGTATCTGTATTTGGCACTATATTTGGAGTTATCCCACTCTATCCTCTGTGGGATAGGGTTAAGCTGAGATACCGCAGCCGAGTGGGGATTGGAGCCTAGGTCCAACACGAACTGCTGCACCAGGCTGCTTCTCAGCAATATAAAAAACTGTGAAAATGAATTTTAAGAGCACTGAGCTTCGGTGTGTTCATTTTCTAAACAACAGAATACAAATGAACAGGAAGTAAGGAATGCAAAGCTCAGGGTTAGGTTAGTTATTTTCATGTTATGTACATCTGCAGCCTTGAGCAAAAAATAACTTGACATGTTATCACTGCAAGATACCAGGAAATATGTAACACCAGCTAATGGTGGGCCTGCACGACGTTACTACCGATTGCTTAATTGCAACCTCGTCATTGGGCACTTTTCCCAGCTGTAGTCAATGTTCAAAGTCACCATGTAATGACAGCTACAGGGCTCTAGGTCACAGTTTCAGTCCTTATATGAATGTGTTAACCTGAATTCTTTGTAAGAGGGACAGACTACAAATGTATACTAACGATGATACAGGGAGGGATGGCAGCAGGAGGAACCAAGATACCTCTGAGGAATGGCTTCTCTGGGTGCATAATTAAGTATTTCATCATTATGCTGATGACAAGTAAAGGTAAAGGATCCCTGGACGGTTAAGTCCTGTCAAAGGCGACTATGAGGTGCAACACTCATCTCGCTTTCAGGCCGAGGGAGCCGGCGTTTGTCCACAGACAGCTTTCTGGGTCATGTGGCCAACATGATTAAACCGCTTCTGGTGCAACGGAATACCATGACAGAAACCAGAGCGAAAACGCCATTTACCTTCCTGCCACAGTGGTACCTATTTTTCTACTTGCACTGGTGTGCTTTCAAACTTCTAGGTTGGCAGGAGCTGGGACAGAGCAATGGGAGCTCACTCCGTTGCAAGGATTTGAACCACTAACCTTCCAATCGGCAAGCCCAAGAGGCTCAGTGGTTTAGACCACAGCGCCACCCATGTTCCCCTATGCTGGGATAGCTCAATTGGTAGAGCAAGAGACTCTCAATCTCTAGGCGGTGGTTTAAGTCCCATGTTGGGGGAAAAGATTCCTGCACTGCAGGGGGTTGGACTTGATGATCCTTGGGGTTCCCTTCCAACTCTACAGTTCTGTGATTCTGTGCAAACACAGCTTCACCACCTAACCCTGAGCAAAGCCTGAACTAAATAATGGATTTAATCATACAAAGCAACATGGGGATTTAAAGCAGCTTCAAAAAGCCAGAGTTTTACCTACAAAAAAGATGGTGTGAGGTGTGAGGTCACGGAATATTTTCTGTGATTAATGAAATGGTGTTTTTTTTTAAAAAAATCATTTTTATAAAAGACTTGAATAATTATCTCTGTCATTTCCAAGGTTCCCTTTCCCTTTGCAACTAGAACACTGTTAAAATGAATGCAGATGGTACGATTTAGCAGACATACTAATAAAGTGTGAGCTGCTGGTTTATTTATTACTCTTGCAAAAGAGCTGACTAGTGCCAGCTTGAGCTGGCCTCATAGCGCTTTAAAATGATTTCCACCCCTCTCTTCGGCATCCACTAAAAATAGGTTACTACCATAGCAACCCCCTTACATCACAAATGCCAACTCTAAAATTCAGGAAGCTGCATTCAACATCTGTACACATGAACCAGATGCAATATACAGCTGCATTTTCAGATAAAGGCTTTCACAACTGCTCTTCAGGTTAGAAGATTCCCTAGACTTACATAAACAGTTCAAAAATGGATTAGATTGCCACAAATATTCATGAGGGGTGTTGGGTGAAGGCCAGCTTCAGAGAATTATGATGAATGGGGAGGATTTGCAAAATGGACCTGAGCATGCTTTTCTAGATGCCTCCTTAATATGTGCACAGACATAAAGCTATGCATTAATTCAGATAAGGCTGAAAGAAACAATAATTAGGCTAGTTCAAGCTGTTCAAAAGAAGGTCCAAAGCTCAAATCACAATTCCATACTTCGATAACGCTTTCATTGTGCAAGAGGCATTTTAAAAGGAACTGAATTCTTACAACATTAACTGCACATCACTTTTTTACTGGATTTATCACAAACCCCACCTCTAACTTCCATGTTGTTGTGGGTTCTTTAAAAAAATTGTCACTGAGCAAAATCCCATTTACCTTTGTGTGCTATGTGACACAAGTCCTCTTGCATTTTAGAGAATTCCGATGTGGTTTCGGAACCATTAGAGTAAATTTTCTCTTCGCCAAAATCTAGTGTGGATAAATTGGGGTTGGAAGCGTGCAGTCTCAATGGAGCAGAAAGAACAGTTGGTACCTATAAGGAACACACACCGGTGGTGCGATATTACAAAAGGTTCCAGGTTGCCAGCAACTTACATTCAAGATTCAGAAAGGAAGGGAAAGACATTGATCTGAAACAGACCGTTGCCACTCACAAGCCAGAAGAACCCCCCGTACCCTACTGCACCCCCATTTTACGCCACAGATTTGTCCATGTAGCTTACCCAAACCCTTAGCTAAGGGTTTTGAAGTTTTGCTTGAGCATTTCAAGTGGTGCTCTTCATCTCTGCACCTTCCTCATTGAAGCTTTCCTTCCTGCTGTTTCTCTTCTCACTTCAGATTGCTCAGAAAATCAATGCTGAGCTACTCTCTTCCCATTAAGTTATCCCCTCTATCCTGAATCCTCTGCTCCAGTTTCCTTCCCTAGACCTCACCCTGAAAACTCTCCCTTATCCACAATTATAGTTCCTTCACTTGCTCACTCTATTCTACCCAGAGTCATCTGCCAACAATTTCCTTCTGCCTCCTTCACCTAGGAACTTCCTTATTCCTTGAACACCGTCACTTTCTCCTCCCTCAATACCCACATTTTCAAGCAAAACCGTGGCTGAACAATCCCGGCATCACTGGGAACGACGGCTATACCACACCTCGCTTTCCCCCTTCCTTAGCCTCACTACTTACTTACCACCCCTTGATCTCTTCCTTCCCTTCTCCTTATTTCTTGATTTATTTAACAAAATTTATTCCCCACAGCAAATTTATGCCCACAGCAGCTAACAATTGAAACACTAAATGCCAAGCCATGTGCTTGGGCCTAATGCAATCATTTCTATGTTCTTTACAGACCCTTTGCAAAAGAACCCCACGAAAGACCAAATATTATATTCTTAGCAAAAACAACATTAAATAAATGTAAGTACTGTGGGATTTGCTTGTGCATGGGGGGGAAAAACCTGAGGTTAATTTGAGGCCATGCCAATGCCCATCACAAATGTCAATTAAAAGGTGATTAAAAGGTGATTACAGAGTACACCATTCAACTCTCTTTTCTGGTCCAGGATTCGATCCTCCCCTCCTCTGTCAATCTATGCAATCCCCCCCCCCTAAGTTCAACTGTCTCCTTTCCTAGCTATATACAAGCTTCCTGCTCTCTTTCAGAAAGTCCCCACCTAAACTGCGGAGGAAGTTGTCAATCACTCACCTGAAAGGATGTGCTCATGCTCCTCATTAAATGCCTTGCTGAATTCAGAGGATTGGAGGTATGGGGAAGGAAAAGGTAAGGGGTGCTGGGATTGCTAGGCTGGAGTACGGACATGGCAGAAAGCGCATTGGCCAGTATATTGGGGGTGGGGGTGGTATTTGACCGGTCAAGAACATAAAAAAAATGAAACAAAAACATAAAACTTGGTCAATTGACTGGCCAAATAATAGACAAGCATTTAAACACGTATGCTATAAAGAGAATTTGCTAGTTGCCCAAAGAACTAGGGGACCTCCCAGAAGCTTTATAGAGCACTATGAAAGAACACTCGAAGCCCTTCCTCCCCACAGGAAATGCAAACAATTCAAAGGAATAATGGCTTATGAAACTGATGGACCAGGCTGAAACGGCGAAATTAACTGCCAAACTAAGAGGACATCATGACTAAGGAGGAATTGGGACTATCTATCAAAGTATCACCCAGACATGAAGTTGCAGGCAGGATTTGAAATATAAGCGGTGGATTCCCGAAAGACCTAATGATAGTGAAGTTTAGATAATAAAAACAGATCTATTGTTGTGCAATGGTGTGTGGGTCTGGTCCCACCTGCTACTGGAATGTCCTCCTCCTCCAACAGATTGCCATGGGGTGATGAGGACCTTGGCCTGAAAAGGTTTCTTCATCCCTATGCTACAGGGTCGATTTCTGGCTAGCCAGTAAGCTTAGACCAGTGTCTCTTCCATGAGGACTGTTTGTGTATGTTTCCTTGATGCTTCCTGACCTGAAGTATGAGTTCCTGTTCAAATATGGCTGTGGTTACAATACGTGAGTAGTAGGAGAAGCTCGCCCATGCTGCTTAAAAGTGAGGGAGAAGGCAGGAAGTCAAGGAATAGTTGTTCCAAAAAGTGAGGAGTGGACTCACATGCGCAGCCCTGATTCCTTCAGGGCTGCACAGCAAGGGACTCTCACTGTTTGTATTGCTGTCAAATGACACTGGAATGCAACAGAAAGCTGTTAGTCACACAGGGTGCTCCTAACATGTTGGACTGCAGCCAATTAATCGTATTTGACCAATCAATTGACCAGCATGACAACCCTACAGTATGCATAACTCTACCCTCATCTGCGACAGACCAATACTAGCCTAGTTCCCCTACCCCAAAATGACAACTGCTTTCTAAGGCTTAAGAAACCACTTCCAGAGATTCTTTAATGGGAAATGTTTGGCATTGACGTGAGATATTATGCATGCAAAGTGCGTACTCTTACGACTGCGCTACCCCTTTCACCCTTCCGCAGCCCCTTGTAAACTCAGCAACCCAAATAAATGTGCATTCTCCAGATGGATGGAGCCAATCTTGGATATAAATGTTATTTATTATGCTGTCAAAAGTTCAGCGAATGAAAGCCTCAATAGATTAGTGAATGCAGCACCCTCTGCTTATATCACACCAGCAGAACGGAATCACCATCTGTCACTGAGAGCAATTACTAAGACCATCAATTATACTGGAGAAAATGAGTTTTGACCAGTTCACCCGCACTACGTATTTAGGCTAAGATGGAAGGGGATGGGTGAAGAGAGGCTGGTTACCTGCAACATTCCTTTCGCATCTTTACTAAGACCTCGGGAACGCCACCTCCTGTGTGTTCTTTTTTCCTTTTTAGGACTTTCAAAGGGGATGCCCTTTAGAACAGCACACGGGAAAGAGAAGAACGGCATTTATCACAAATCTAGGAAGAAAGCTGACACGAGCTAGCAGCATGACCGAACAGAGGTAGCAATTTCCACAACTAACCTGCATGGCATTTATGGCGGGCGCTGAGTATGTCCTGTGGAGAACTTCCATGCTTTGCAGAAGCTGGCTCATTTCCAGCAGATAGTTATGACAGTGGGAGAGGTCTGTTGGGAAGAAAGAAACGATTTTCGGTGCTTTGTAAAAGGGAGGGGGAGGGGAGAGGGAGGAAGAGGTTATCTACCCCTCCATTTATCTAGTGTATGTGCAAAGTATCTTTCAGCAGAACTCTAATGGTAACTGATTACTAGGTAATTCAGAAGATTATGAAGGATGTGTCTGGCTGTCGGTTACATTCTGATTCTGTGGTTATTCTTCTAGGATTTGTTGAAACAGCTATTAAAAGTGAAGCTTATGAATAGGCGGGTAGAATTTTAGCAGACACAAAGCAGTGGCGCAAAAACATACCACCTATGAAATATATGATCCATGTTTAAAAGGGCTGTGTCAGGGGTCTGCGTTCAGGGGAGGGGGGAGAGACGGGAACGTACAGACAGCCTCCTCCTCTGTTGAGCAGCCACACTTCGTCAGAGTCTGGGGAGGGGAAGCCTTCAGGAGACACAGATGACGAGAGAAAGGGCGGGGGGGACGAGGCAAAGGGTCAGTCAGGCAAAGGGGAGCCAAGACACTACTCCCAGGGAAGTGGATGTGCCTCTTCCGTCGCATAGTTTTCGCTAGAGAATTTCACGTAAGGAAAAGATGAGGTTTTCCCGGGCTTTTATGCTGGAGGGCAAACAGGAAGAAGGCACTTCCGGAATCTGCTAGCGATTAAGGCAGAGATGGTTTTTGGACTTCTGCAACTGTACTTCTGCACTGAGGGACGCGGGTGGCGCTGTGGGTAAAACCTCAGCGCCTAGGACTTGCCGATCGTCAGGTCGGCGGTTCGAATCCCCGCGGCGGGGTGCGCTCCCGTTGCTCGGTCCCAGCGCCTGCCAACCTAGCAGTTCGAAAGCACCCCCGGGTGCAAGTAGATAAATAGGGACCGCTTTATAGCAGGAAGGTAAACGGTGCTGCGCTGGCTCGCCAGATGCAGCTTGTCACGCTGGCCACGTGACCCGGAAGTGTCTGCAGACAGCGCTGGCCCCCGGCCTCTTAAGTGAGATGGGCGCACAACCCTAGAGTCGAACACGACTGGCCCGTACGGACAGGGGTACCTTTACCTTTTTACTGTACATAAGTTTTGCACTCAATAAAACCTGTAAAGACAGGCTGGAGTCCTGGCTGTTATCTTTGTGAGCAACCACACTCTCACCTCACAGGTTGCATTAATGTTTCCAGGGAGAAAAGAGTTTAAGCAGCGTCTTTGAGCATACGGTCATAGCCTTGGAAGGGATTCCCCCAGTCCAACCCCCTGACAGATGGCCATCCAACCTCTACTTTAAAACCTTCAAGGAAGGAGAGTCCACCGCCTTCAGAGGGAGTCCTGGCCCTCCTTTATTCCATTTCTTTAGACTAATACCACCATAAAGCATTGTTCTCCTTGTAATTATTAGCTTCCTCGAGGGACTGGATGAGATTGTCTAATTCTTAATATGCAGCTAAGTTAGCAATCTCTTACAAGAATGTGACTTGAAACAGCCCTAACAAAAATCGAAGCAGTAAAACTGAGTGACGTGTAAACAAGACTGGAGAAGATGTTCCACATAAACAAGGCTCTGGGGGCTAGTCTTTCTTGAACGGTTGGATTTCTCCCTCCCTCTCCATCCACACCAAAAAAACCCCAAACAAACCCGTACACACTCCATTAGAAAACAGAGGCTAGGAGAAAAAGGTATTTTAAAGGTAGTTCACATGCCTGACCCAATTGCTTTCTCAAAAAGAGCTCCTGAGAGAGTTTTGGGTAGGAAAGCAGAGAGGAACACAATAGCAGAAGATGCTGGTATGCTGGCAGTACTCAGAAGCGAGGAAGACCCCAGTCACAGGAAGGAAAATGGAGTACACCCCAAAGTACATAGGAAAAGGATTTATTAGGCTCAATGTGTTTTGGAACAAATCTTTTTTTCAAGGGCATTCTAATCGTCTTCCATCTGTTCTTCTCAAACCAAGGAAGGGCTGTAACTCACTGGCTTGACTCACTAGAAGGCTGCTGTCTATGTTCCTAATCTGCTCTGAAATCAAGTTTCAGTTCCTATGCACCTGCATGTCCTCTCTGCCTTTCTCCCCATGCTGAGAGTACTCAACCGCACGTTCCTCATTCCTTCCTAGCCTAAAAAGGACACTAGCAGCAAACAGGGCTTGTTTGTTTTTTAAAAAAGAAGTTTCACAGTGAGGAGTCCTGCAGCTGGGGTGAGCAGGAGCATAGTGCTAGGACAATGATTTACACCCGGGTCGGGGAACCTCTTGCCCTGCAGTTCTCACCAACCCTGATCATTAGCTATGCTGCCTAATTTATGTTTTGTAACACCTCTGACAATATCACCTTTAGCCCAAGAACTCCAGCCCAAAGGCTGTAAAGGAACCAACCCCCCACCCCCATTTTCATCCCCAGGGGGTGCACACACATACATACACGCTTTACACATCTTTCCATCACCCATCTATGTCCCACCTAGGAACAAGTTATTTCAAACTCTCCATTTGAACTTCAGTCACCTGTTATTTGGAGTCCTGTCCTTTTTAGAGGCTGAAGCAATTGGCAAGGCAGGTGACAGGCTCTTGACATGGAGAGGAGGAGAAGTAACCCTAACTTCAGAGTCACATGGTCTATTATAAAAGCTTGCTTTAAAAATTGCTTTCCGAGACTTTAAGGCGGATGTTGCATCAGGACAGAGAACCATGAAGAACGTCCTGTGAACGTTAAGTCACTTAGAAGTCTGAATTTCTACTAGAGAAAAGTTACCTTTTGAACATCTTTCCATATCCTCCGAAGACTGCAGCCAAGGTGGGATCCTTGAGTCATTGTTTGAGCAGGAGAATGACATACTACTTCCAGTCTGCAATGAATTCTGCTGAGTCATGCTGCCTCGCTGTTGCGTGGAAACAGGATTACATCATCAATAAAAATATTCCAGTAAGGGGAGAAATACTTTGCATGGTTTGTTATGGTGAATGACACTTAAAAGCAAGTACAGACATTTAATTTCAGGTGGGAAAGGCTTTGCAAAAGCGATTTCTCCAAAGCTACATGCATTAAAGCAGGGATGGGAAACCTGGAGCGGGGGCTGATGGGACTTGGAGTCCAACATCTGGCCAGCCACAGGTTCTCCATCCCTGAAGTAAAGCTCAACCTGCACCATTGCTAGTCTGCAGGTTGGCTGAAAGATAAAGTACCCCCAGAGGCCTTGCCCCACTTAAATTACCAAATTTCAAGTTAAATTCTTACATACTAGTAAAGACCCATTCATGCTGTCATTTCCACAATACTTCCCAACTGCTTCACCATTGATATTTCCTATCAATGACCATCAGGCCATTACGGACATTTGGGCAAAGAAAATCCATGGTCTGTCAGGAAGGCAACTGGACAGCCCTGGTGACGACAGTTTCTCTACCTAAATGACCAGGTTGTTGCCAGAACAACAGGAAGTGAGGAAAGTGAACAACAAGAATGAGACGGGCTATAGTGCACTTTGTATCCTCCCAAACGCCACAGAACAAGGCTAGCCAAATTGGTGTGTTCCAGATGTTCTGCACTCCAACTCTCATCAGTTTCAATCAGCTAGGACAATGGGAAGGGATGATGGGAGTTGTAGTCCGACAATGTCTGAAGGGCACCATGTTGCTTATCCATATAAATACTCATCAGGTCACACAGCACATAAAGAAAGCATGAAAAGTGGCCCTTTCTTCAGTTAATGTAAACTTAAACTATGCTGCTTAGTATCAATTGACTTGGATGAAGCTTTGTTTTGATTTCTTTATGTTTTATTTTGAAGCCACCAAATTCCCAACTCGTCACAAAACACTCAACTTTTGTTGACATTCCATCTTTACCTCCACTGGTACTAGAAAAAGAATGAGCACTACAGTGGTTTTTTGAAAGGAACATATTGCGTTTATTCCTCAAATATCAGCTCTATTCCTTGTTTTACTCTGCACACAGAGGTCAGACCAAATTAAGCCCCAAGGGAAGCCCATCATCTGCCATTCCTGTGGTGTCTACCTTTCTGCTTGCCGTGGATTCCAGAAAGCCAGTTACGGAGTCTGTAACAGAAGCTGATGCTGGAAAGAAATGGTTGTTGATGTCATGCGGAAACATGGAAATTTCATTTTGACGATACATTCTATGATGGCGCAGCTTTGCTACCCATTCATCAAAGACTTCCTGAGATTTTGCCTAGAGGAAAACAGAGGTTATAAAAGCAATAGTTATATTTTTCCACGTTACTACTACCCAGCGTAAGTGGGATGAAAGATCTCATTTATCTCCCCTCAATTGGTTCAAAGTCCTTACTCAATGAATAATTCTGCAGTCCAGGACTGCTTTGCCACCTGGAAAACCCACATAGGAAGCAACCTGCTGGGCCACACCTATCAAGGCCCAACTAGTCTAGCATTCTGTTCTCACAGTGGCCAGAAACAGGACATGAGTGCAACACCAGTCTTCCTACACTGCTCATTTGAACTGAATGACAGAGGAGGTTTTGCTGCAGCAGATGGATGGGAATTGCCCTAGTGAGGTCCTGGTAACTTGTTTCTACTTCTCAGCCTAGTGATGAAGGGGATGCTGAGCTGCAGGATGGACGAAAAGCAGCGAACACAGTGCTCTATGGTAGCAAACAGGGCCTGGCCCAGGCACCTACAGAACAAAGGGAAAGCTATAGGCTAAGTGTAGAAAGCAAGGGGTGACACAGAGACCATGGGCAGCCTGTCCTGTTCCAAATAACCAATCAGACCAGCGAACCAAAGCTAAAGTAGCAACGGATTCTACACCATAATAAAAAGGTAAAGGTACCCCTGCCCGTACGGGCCAGTCTTGACAGACTCTAGGGTTGTGCGCCCATCTCACTCAAGAGGCCGGGGGCCAGCGCTATCCGCAGACACTTCCGGGTCACATGGCCAGCGTGACATCGCTGCTCTGGCGAGCCAGAGCCGCACACGGAACGCCGTTTACCTTCCCGCTAGTAAGCGGTCCCTATTTATCTACTTGCACCCGGGAGTGCTTTCGAACTGCTAGGTTGGCAAGCGCTGGGACCGAACAACGGGAGCGCACCCCGCCGCGGGGATTCGAACCACTGACCTTTCGATCAGCAAGCCCTAGGCGCTGAGGCTTTTACCCACAGCGCCACCTGCGTCCCATTCTACACCATAATACTCAGCTCCTATTGCATTTCTTTTTGTTTGCCGCATGTGCAAGTTGTATTCTGTGCTGATCAACACAAATTCTTTGAACCGAAGTTCGAGTCTTAAGTTCCAGGGCAGCAATTTGGATCCCAAGTCCAACTTAATTATATAAGTTTATAACGATTTAAAACATATTAAATACATCACACTCTAGTCACGCATAAAACAAAAACAAATCAATGTCTGTCTTAAGGCAGAGTTTCTTATATGCACCCCCCATCAGCCAATTTTGTTTTCTATGGCTTGTGACTCAGTTGCGGCTCCACTTCAAATCATTATTCCTTTTCTGTGGGTTCATCTGGAGTCAACGCTAAATACAAATTCCAGCTTCAGGTTCTATCCCCCAGGGTTGCTCTGATCAAAAGGCTTTTAAGAAATACCCTACAGCTAAAAATTGATAACATAAAGTTAAACTGTATATGTATCTTTGAAAGCAGAGTACTGAACACCATGGGAAAACAGCAGTGGCAACTGCAGAAGCGTGATTTCCCTTAGCTACACACATATTACTGACAGGCAAAAGAGGTTCTAGTTCACTCAGTCCAATCACCCCTCTGAAGATTAAAAGCAGATCTTGTATAACTCTGATTTTCTGACGCACCGTGCTGCAGCATACTACACTATGCCCATATCCTTTGATATATAACATCCTCTGATATTAACATGCAAAATCGCGATCGTTCACACTAAAAAGCATATAGTAAGCTTTAGCCTATTCATAATATATCTTTGGCACTATTACATACTTTAAATGTATATTAAGCATCAAAATAATATTAAGTAGTTAAAACTATGCTGTTCTTCAAACTTTCTTCCCATGTGTGGGAATTCAAGTTAAACTATTGCTTTCAAAGCCATATACGACACCTTTGGTTCAAGCTTAGAGTAAGATATGACCTTGCAGCAAGTTGAGAGTAAGATTGCATTTTAAGCAAACTGGGCAAAATAGGGCAAAATATAGCAAATTCAACAGGATTCTGGGGAAACAGATGGAGATCTCTAGGTTGAATGCAATCTTTTCCAGCACCAGAACGACACTCTGATACTACTTAACAACAGGATTACCTTTAAATGATAAATGTGTTCTTCTGTATCCAGATCTATACATTTTGTTGACTTCTTCACGGACATCACCGAAAGCCCAACGTCTATACACCCATGCAGCTTCCCTCGTGCTATCTGTCAAGAGTCATTGAAAAATAACTATTTCAATTCAGGGAGAGGACAGCAAAAAACACACACAAAAAAACCCCGACTTTCAGGATTACCTCTTTCTGCCTACTGATATCCTTTCAAACAATCACTGATTTCTTTCACAAAAACCTAAGCAGACATCAAATTAATTCACGCAACATTTGCACAATGTGTCTTTGAGGTACTTACGTCAGCTGGGCTCTTTGCATACTTCAAAATCCCTTTATCCAGAAAGAAGCATCTCTGTAAGGCAGAGAAAACTCTTTTAGTCAGGAAGCGTAAGACTGTTCCTTGAGGAGCTGTAATACTCCTTCACCCAGCCTTTCAACAAGGGCACCAGACTAAGTGACTTAAATGTTAATGGGAACAAACAACAATGACAGATGTCCTCACCTTGTGCCAACCTTTCAGAGGCCATTTCCTCTTTTTCAGCAGGTAGCCTTCCTGTTTCGGTGGTTCCTGCGTGTAATTCATGGCTCCCCGCAGTCCTTCTACAATTTCCCAGCTGTCCTGTTCAGAAACAAGACCCAGAATATATAACAGTGTCTTTTTTCTCCTTCGTCAAATGAGAGGACAGTGACAAAAGCAGCAATTTTAACATGCTAACAGCAGGCCAAAATCCCAACCAAGTAAATTTTATGTGAAAATAGTTTTGGAAAACTGCTACGATGATTTATATGGAAACTCAGCCAGGGGGACTGGAGGAAGTCACCTAACAATGTTAACAAAAGTGGAATTATTACAGTTAGAATAAATGTTTGTTTGTTTTTTTGATGTTTTCTTTCTATTCGTTTGTTATAAATTTGGAAAACTAATAAAACAAATTTTGGAGAAAAAAATCCCAACCCAAGCAGACTGGGGTCACTTGGGTTTAAGATGGCCACCCCACTGGGTTTCCAGATTGAGTGCAGCTAATTCAGGCTAAGTGTGCTGTGAGTTGAACTGCCATTATGGACAGAATACAAAAAGGCGCCTATAAATCCATTTCTTTGGAGCAGTCTTTGCCAACCTGGTGTTCTGAATTCCCATCTACCAGCATGCCAAGTAAATTAAACACTTTTTAATATGCAACAGCTGCATTCAGATGAAACAATAAACTATATTGAATGGTTATGGGAGCAAGTCTAAATAAGCCTTGGAATAGGGCATGCCCCCTTCCTTTTACTCCTCAGGCACAACCAGGAGGGAAAGTTTGGAAGTTTTTGCTTCTGTTTTCACTTCTGCGCAGTTCAGTAAAATGTGAGAACTTGTGGGCCTTTCCGCACTTATTCTTTGTAGTGGTCTAGTTCAGGTATAGGCAAACTCGGCCCTCCGGTTGTTTTGGGACTACAATTCCCATCATCCCTGTCCACTGATCCTGTTAGCTAGGGATCATGGGAGTTCTAGTCCCAAAACATGTGAAGGGCCGAGTTTGCCTATGCCTGGTCGAGTTGCTGTTTGGGTCCAATGTTTTTAAGAGTGAATTTGTAGCCGATAGCCTGCACCTTTGGCCACATGTTGCTGTTATTAGAAAGGGACGAGTAAAGAATTTCTTTCTACAATAGTAGGTTGTACCTGAATTGAAAAAAGTTCTGTGGCTCCAGTCACACCCCTTATGTACTCTCATATTCCTCTGGTAAATGTCAGAATTATGAACATGTCCAAGGAATATCACTTTTGTGGCTCTTTTTTTGTATTTAATTCACGGTGTTCTGGAATTCTAATAGTATAGCAGATAAGAAGAGGAACTACTGTGTCTGGTGAACCTAGTTATTGTGAGGAATATTGTCCGCAGCTAATTTTTGCTGTCATGGGCAAAACTCTGAATCATTATCACCATCTCAGTCTGCAATCTCTCTCCTCTGAACTGAGCTCGCAAACTGACAGCTTGCACCATCATAGGGAAGTGGAGCGAAACAGATGTTTCACAAACCATGCTCACCAACCTTACCTCCACGCAAAAACTGGGGCAATACTTGTACACAAATGGAAACTATTAAGAATCGTAGGTCAGAAGAAAAAAGTGGTCTTTGTTCCAGAACACTAGATGAATAATAATGTCATGTGGCAGTGTGCTAAAAAATCTGGAGAGAACAGCAATTATACCTCTATAACTGCAGAAAAACCCCTGTGTCTAATGTAGTTATGGTCTATTAAAACGGAAATTGTTTTAATGGACCATGATTAAGACTAACCATGGTTTGTCCAAATCCAGACATTCTCCAAGTTCATAATGGTAAACTGTGGTTTGTCAAAAAAAGAAGAAGCAAAAGCTTCTGATCCTCCTCTCGTAGTTGTACCATAGAAAGAGAGCCTGCAACCCTAAAGCTCCCAGGCTCATTTCTATAATGAATGTACAAACACAGACAAAATACCATGAAGTACAGTGGTACCTCGGGTTAAGTACTTAATTCGTTCCGGAGGTCCGTACTTAACCTAAAACTGTTCTTAACCTGAAGCACCACTTTAGCTAATGGGGCCTCCTGCTGCCGCCGGGCCGCCGGAGCATGATTTCTGTTCTCAACCTGAAGCAAAGTTCTTAACCTGAAGCACTATTTCTGGGTTAGTGGGGTCTGTAACCTGAAGCATATGTAACCTGAAGTGTATGTAACCTGAGGTACCACTGTACATTAATACAGCAATATACAGGAATATTTTTAATGTTTTTATCAATGCAACAACAATGATCATTGTATGCTCTCATGGTAGTGTGAATATTCCATACTAAACTACCGCTTGTAATCTCTTCCGCTCCTACCATATGTGATATTTTGTGCCCAGAAGATCCTTGTAAATTTTTGAACATTTATTACCCATTTCCCTTCCCCCATTTCTGAATAATGAAACAGAGATTTTAACAACAAAGCCTAAAATGCTCTGTTGCCTCAAATGAAATATGCATGCAGAAAAGTAACTCCTTATTCCACATTTTAGAGCTGCAAAACAGCAGGAAAATGCGTATGACAACATTCAGAGCCCAAATCAAACCCAACAAATGACAAAGCAATGAGCAATAGGAGTTACTGAACTGATCGCATTTCAAATTGGCAACAAAGTTTGCGGAAATGTCAGTGGAATAACTCCTACAAGTTAAAAATTAATCATTTAAAACCATCTCAACCTGGGCAAACGGTCCATTTTTAAAATATAATTGATTTGCTGTAGTATTTTAACACTGCAAACCACTGTATATAAACACATTAAGAAGGAGTAACAAAAGAATGCTAACATTAATTTCACAAGATAGGAGGGAACATATTCATCATGGAAAACAGGGACAAATCACTGAAAGTGGTTTGGAAACTGCAAGGCCAAAGGCAAATCCCCCTCGGCCACCTGTCCTTGCCTTCTTCAAAATTGTAATTTAATCTTGCAAAGGATTTGATAAAGCGAAATGAAATGGCACAAATGCTTTGTTTGGAGTTCATGAGCATCAAAGAGTCTCAGGCCTGCAGGCCCAGTCCCCACGAGAGAGGCAGATAGGCCTTCTGGAAAGGAGCTTCCTAGGATGGGTTAAAGGGGAATAGGAAACATTTCCATTCCAGGAGCTGCCATGTATGAGGGACACAAACCTTTTAAAAGCCAGGAAGACCTCAACATTTTGAGCAACATGGGTTCCACCGTCTGAAGTCTAACCTTTTAATAATGCCTTTGAGAAACCCCTCTAATCTCACTAGGTTGCCTGGACTTCCAGAAGAACAGCCTGTGAGCAGCAAATTAAAAACAAAGAACAGCGAGAATGGCTTTGCCTCAGAAACATGTTCTTGGAGGACTGTTTTCTCATTTTTGCGCTTTTATAGTCTGGAGCAGGTAGCAGAGCACAAAACAGACCCTCACATCTTCTGTAGGGAACGGTGCATGTACACTTAAAATCAGGGCTTTCCTCTGCGAAATTGCAAAGAATGGCTTTGCGCGGGGGCGAAAGTAGCAATATAAATGCATGCATTTTCAACAGACGTGAGGGTATGGCTGTCAGATACCTGTGCCAGAAAACAAAATGAACGTGTGGGACGTGGCCCTCAGAAATAAATGGCTATAGTTCAGAGAGGGACGTTTTGGCTTCCCCATCCACTATTTTGCTGTGGAAGGAGGGAAAAAGGAAAAAAAAGACTACAACTCAAAAGTCTTTGTGGATGCTTGAAGGTTTATATTTCATCAGATTTCCTGCCAATGAGCCTTTTCATTAAAACTGACAATACCTAATTAAAATGGGACTGAGGGGGCAGATTACCAATTCTCAGCAGACAAAAGGTATGGCGTCTGTCACTCGGAGCCTGAAGTCTCAGTCATCACAGAGGCAAAAGATATCTAGGTGTCTGAAAACATGCGTTATATAGAGCAGAAGAGGACTATTATAAAAGTAGACCTGTCCTTTAATGAAAAAGAAAGAAAGAAAGTCACAAAACTAGGCTCCATTTCGGTTAAAGATAGAGTTGTTCTGCATGAAAGTATTCTCTTGAAACCTAAAATTCCACATTTAAAGACTGACTTCAGGCCAAATGATGCATGATCTTAACAGGGTAGTTCTACCCTTGACTGCAAGATTTTGCACACACATATACAGTGATTCCCTTTCTCACTAAGCATTTAAATCAGTGTCATGTCGTGTTAAACAATGCTCTCCCACCACAAAACATCATGGGAACAGAAATTTGTTAAGGATGATGTAAGTTGCAGGGAGACCTCTATTCCTCTCAAAGAGCTACAATTCCCAGAGTAGTTTAAAAATCAATACCTTTTCTGGGAGGACTCTGGCAACCAGCCCGCTGAAGGGAATAGAGGTCTCCTAACATTTTCCCACATAAATATATAATATTTAGACTAGGACCAGTGTACGAAACCTGTACAACAACTGAACACATTAAAAAGAGCACAATTGCACCAAATTGTTTGTTGTGGGAATAGAAGTGCTTTGCTGTTTAGATGGATTTCTCCATTAAAATTTGCCAATATGATGCATTATAAATTGCCTCTTCAGATTTAGAGTTCAGCTACTAGCTGAGTGCCCCATAAAATCGATTTAATCTCACACTGAATGCAGTGGATCTAATTGCTGCTACTAGGCAGCAAGGCTGTAGGAATATCTGCAGGTATTCCTGGCTCCTGGATGCAAGATAATTGAAATGGTGCCACACATCCCAGATGAACTGATCAGAAAATCATAACCCTGTCATTAAAAATATTCATTTAGCAGCATGTGGGATTCTAGGACAGCAAGTAAGGTTCATGAAATAGATACTAGCACTTCACGATGAGGATTTCAGTTCATGTCATTTCTGCCGGGAAAATTCTCATCTTGCAATATGCAATTTGTGGCCAGTTCACATTCCAGAAACATATCTAATCACAGCCCAACGTTATACAACCTCTGGAAACGTCAGGCTGAAGCCCGGAGGAAAGTAAACATTGCTCCAGCCTTTCTGCTTTCAAATACCATAGCCTCTTCTTTGAAACACCAGGATCACCACTGGCCTTCTGCTCCCTAAACCATGCATATTTGATGTATTAGGAGACAGAGCAAATACCATATA